CAGGGTTGGTTCCAGAGTTTACCCAGAGTTTAGGGTTCAGCCAATGCCGAGGCCACAAAAGATAAACTCCGTGAGCCTCCATGTCCAAAGCCCATTGATCTAGATTTACGGTCTAGGGGTCTAGGGTTTAGAGGTTCATTGTTGGCCGTGGAAAAGCGCATAGGCGACAGCATCTTGCGACAAGGTTGTGTCGAGTGCATCGCACCGGAGCTGCGAAAGCCTGTCTGTAAGGTAGTGCGCAGCCAGCACGTTGGCATGTTCACGCCTCCCCGAACGGCCTCCAAAGATATTCGTTCTTGCGAGCTGCTTCTTCCGGGCACCAGCCCATGCCTCACGACACTGATCGCCGCCTGTCAACGTAAAAAGCGTCAAGCACTCCTGCAAAGCCTTCTGGATTTTGAGTCTTCGCAAAACTCTCACAGCCCTGGTCTCCAAATTCCTCAAACTTCGGGGCTTTGGGGTGTTGATGAGAGCAGGAACGGTGATGCACGATTGTCTTGCCGCATGAACCTTATGGGATCAGGAATTTTGATGCACGACAGGCTCGGGGCGAAGGGTAGCGGAGTCAGGCTTGTAAAGACCATGACTCCCAGGCCTGCCTTAAGCCGGCGACCACAGGAATACATCGCAAAAACCACTCTTTTTAGATGCTATACCCTCAAAAATACCCACGTACAAAACACTTCTCTGACCCAACACACATGCTCCGCACTTTCGCTAGAATATGGGTTTTGGCTACATTTACGACCCCGAAGCTACTTCCCCAACCCTACAGTATTCTGCCTGCCATGCCAAGATCTCTGTCCGTGCTGCAGGCCACGACAACTACGTAAATACCATGGTGTTCGTGCCTTGACACACATGCAGCAACCAATCACCCGCTTACTGTCCGGAGAACCTCCGGGATTGCGTGTTTGCGTGCTAGGGTTTAGGGGTTTAGGGCTTCAGGAGTTTTATGGCTTAGGGTTTGAGGTCTAGGGGTTAAGGGGTTGTCTGGCTGTAAACCCTAAACAATTGCCCTTCACGTCACATTATCCTCACCCCCAGACCTGGACCCTCCCCTCAAATCCTACTCTGTCCTGCCAGAGTTAACCCAAAAAGAGCTCACCCTACTCGATGCACACCAGGAATCCCCAGATCCTGCGTATCTTGACCTCTCTCGCCACTTCTGAGCCTGTCCCCAAGTAGAGTGAAGCGAGCCCGAAAGCCTAAGCTCCCGAATTAAGACTGATTTTGAAGGCCCGCCGGGACGAGGTGCTGGTGTGTCTCTGGATGAAGTGGCGAGACCACCGTCCTAGGGGTTAAACATCTCAGCGATTGAGCCGCAAGTGTGTGTGGGGATGCATCCCTAAACCCTAAACCCTAAACCTCTACACTCCAAACCCCTAAACCTTAAACTTGCAAGCGCTCGGGCTTCGGGAATCGCTGGACTGGCTTCTCCCACGCTTGTCCCCATGATATATAGTCTTCTTATGTCTTCTTGGGCAGAAGCGTAGTGCCGGAGAACGTAGGTGCGAGTTTGAGACTGCAGGACTTCGGCTTCGACTGAATGGCTCTCGCTTCTGGCTTCCATGTTCGAAAACGCTGGATATGGCTGAAGAGCGCCGCCCGTCCGTCCTTAACTGCCAGTTTTTCAAAGATTCAGTCTTGAACGATTAGAGTACCAGGTTCAAGCTAACTTGCAAAGAGTCCCTAAACCCCCAACCTCCCACAAAACCCTTAGCAAACGACACCTTGCAATAGTGGATGCTGTACTTCTTATCATGACTAGTTACATCTGAATAGTATCATCTCGATTTTGATACCCTAACCCCAAAAAGCTAAACCCGCATGCCTAAACCCCCTCAACCCTATACCCCCCCAGCCTGGCCACTAACCCCATAATGCGGATAAGATCTGGGGTTCCCGAGAAAAAAAAGAGGGACCCCAATATAGTGTCCTAAATAGTAGGATCCTTATTATAAGGACCCAAGTTGACCCAAGATAAGGTACCCTCATTTTCGGAAACTCCCACATGGCTTCCATCAGCAGATTTCGGTATTCTGAGACTCCGAACCCTCTGGGGGTGAGCTGCGCCCGAGATCTCGGCGAAGGATCCTGGGTAAGGCTTCTTTGGTTAGGGTTTTGAGTTTGGGAATTAGGGCTATGGGATTGATACGGCTTGCAAGGTTCATCGGGGGATTTCATCTCAAGGAAAGAATGACGTTTTTCTTGTGAGGTCTGTCACGAGGCCTGCGATTCAGGCCTTGTTGCTTCCGAAGACATGAAGGATTCTGATAACATCGTTACCCACGTGTTGAGGCCTTTCTGTTGGAAGCTTCTGACTCAGAGTGTGGGGCTTCGAGCGTTTAGTCAAACTTCACTGGCCATTAGACTTAATTGCCAGTAACGGGCCCAAAATATCGCATAGATGTACGGAGTTAACCAATAATGCTTCTAGAAGTCCACTCGAAGAGGCCCTTTTGCCCCAAGTGTAGGATCTTCGCGTGTGTGCCAAGTAAGCCACCCTTACACTAACAGCCAACGTATCAGTGTAGGGTCTAAAGGCCTGGCGTCTCCTTGTGGCGGGACTGTTGTTGCTGTCACGGCGATTGATCCTTGCATGTGTGTGCTCCCAGTTCAGAACTAACACCCACACGGAAGGGAAACTACTCTTCACATATGGCATATGCCCAGAGAGATGCAGAGCGCACAAGAAAATCGGGTACGAACAAGCATTAAATCCGTCTGGCAAAACAACGCGCAGGCTTTTACGCCGAAAACCCCAACCCCTGAAACCTACGATAGGGGCTGAATGATTCGAACAGGTTAGTGTGGTATACAATACCGCAATTGTGGGAAGAAGAAGGGGCCCTACGGAATCCTACTCTACTTATAAAAGCCCCTATACTGTACTTCATCCCAACATAGACATTCGAATGCAAAACACGATGCCTATACATCCTAAAGTTCTAAAGCCCTATAGACACTCAATCGCTACCCCAATACTCTTGAAACCCTACCAAATTCCTAAATCCTAAAGCCTCTAACCCCAGCCCCGAGCTCTTAAACATCAAACCTGAACTCGAAACCCTAAACCCCTTACACCCTAAACCTATAAACCCTAAAACCCTAAACCCCCGACCCCTTGAACCCTAAACCCCTAAACCCTAAACCCCTAAAACCCTAAACCCTAAACCCTCAACCCCTAAACCCTAAACCCTAAACCCCCAAATCTCCAAACCCTTCAAAACAGCGGCTGCCGTGGCGACGGGCCGACCAGGCCCCAGCCGCAACGCCTCTGGCTGCCTTGAACCAAACGACTGTGAAAAGTACCCAGACCTTCCAAAACCCCTGAATTAAGGAATATACCTTAAATCATATTAAGGATCCTACTATAATTTAAGGTATACTCCTTAATTAAGGGGTTTTGGAAGGTCTGGGTACAGGACCAAGACTTTTGCTTAATCGTTCCCTTCTAAGGGGCTCAAAGCTAAGGATCCTAGGAGTAATATAGGGGCCTTCATCAATAAACGAGGGTTCCTTTGAACGGGTTCTATACCTGGACCCCAAAAGTATGTAGAATAACAGGCTTTTAAGGGAAATGGGCCATCATTTTACCTACTTTGGGGGGTTTAGGTATACAGGGTTTCGGGTAATGACCGGGATTCCGCGGCCAGAAACAGCGCGAACGACGACAGTGGGGTTGTGAATCGAGTCCCTTGAGGGGTCAAGCAGTCCGTCCCAACGGGTGTCATAAGAAGTCGGGCCGGCACCTCCACTCCCTAGGTAGCAAGGGCTTTAGGGTTTAGGGTTCCTTATAAGGCTTATACCAAAGCCTTGAAGGGGTTCCTGCATAATAGTTTTCCGGCCAAAGTGTACGCAAAACCCTGAACCCTAAACCCTAAAACCCAAACTAGACCCTTAATATATCGACTGAGCAGCGGAATCTGCGTCATGCGCACCGCCGCGACCCAAAGGCCACTTCTCGCGCCGATGCGGAGCCCAAAATGCTGAAAGAAAATACTAGGGGAAGTGCAGTATAGTTGTAAATTGCCGATAATTAAAAACCAACATGTAGACATCTTAAAACCTAACGTCAAGTTAACTCTGTTCCCCAAAATCTTTCTGGAGACCCTTACAGACCCAAAGGGTCCAAGTGCCAGTATAGCAGGTACTTAGTAGGTATTTGGCCCCCAGAAGTATATACGATACCATTACTTGGGCCCTTTGGGAGAGGAAGCGATAAACTCCGATCAACTAAACATGGAAAAGCAACACTAGCGCACCCTAGAGTCTCATCGTGGAGGGGCTCCTTTTAGGGTTTAGGGTCTAGGGTTTTGGGGTTTAGGGTTTTAAGGTTTAGGGTTTAGGGTTTTAGGGTTTAGGGTTTTAGGGTTTCGGGTTTCTGTTCGTGCAGGGGGTTAGACGAAGAGTTCAAGGTCCACAATCAGAAACAGACTGGGGCTATGTTGTAATATTTACAATGAGCATGAAGAGACTTGAAAGGGGACTCTGCTAAGTTAATCAACGTACTACTCAAACATTTGTAATAAAATTGCTCCAGTTGCTTTCGAACTTGGGAAAGAAATCCCAAACAGTCCTTCTAACTTCTGACCCTGCCTACGACGGCTCGCAGCAACCACGAGTGGCCATCTCAGCCAATTCAATACAATGCCAAGAAATCTTTCTTAAAGTCTTAGACAAAAATCAGCAGCGTGTGACCCCCGCTTTTTCCCAGCACCAAGCTCAAGAAGACCAAGCAGTTCGCGTGGAACCCCAACTTTGCGAAGCTCCCCGAAGTCGAAGTCTTCTTTCTTAAAGAACACCAGAAACACTCAAACCGACTGCGTTAGGTTAAGAGAGTGGGCTTTTGGGCTGTAGGCTATAGGGCTATAGGGCGGAAGGCTTTCAGCTAGGCTTCAGGATTGGGGACTCATGCGTCTTTAGGGCTTGCCTCAACCCTGAAAAACCCACGGTTTTCGCGGCAGACTCTCATGAGCCTGCATTTAACCGCTGAGTCAGTGGAAACCATCTGGCGGAAGAATTCGGCAAGTGAAGCTTCGCAGCCTCCTTCGCTCACCAACGGTACTGGGAGGTTCGGGGAACTGATTGCCCTTGCGCCACTCTTCTTGCAATGCAGTGCAATCAAATCATAAATCCAGGAAGTATAGGTATCATACTCCATGTTGTGATTGCCTGGGCCCAGCATACAGTCAGAATGAGGTTATATTCAGCATGAAGCAACACGTGTCACTTTAATTAGACAGTGGCGTCCTAGCGATTGTCCCTACATGGGGCTTGCTCCTGGAAGTAAAGGGATCGGACTTATCTCACATACTGCATTTCGGCACAGAACGCTTATACTTGGAACAGACATCCATGCAAACGGCGAACAAATCTCTGTTCGTGGAGCAGCAAGATGAAACCCTAAACCCTAAACTGAACCTTGAACTCTCCTGTCGGTAACACACTGCATGATTCAAAACCCCAATCCGTAGTAAGTACAGAACCCCAAACCCTAGAGCCTAAATTTTGAACCCCGCAGCAGAGCCCTAAGCACTACACTATAACTCAGAAATTCATGCGGCCCAGCAACTTGAGAAGAAGAAGGCAACCACCAAAGCAATGGCTGCCAGAACATGCAACCTGAGGACATACGGTGTCATAAGAGTTTCCTGCGGTCTTAATGGTTTCAAATGAGTTTAGCATACTACAACTTGACCTCTTGTGAACTCTTTCTTAAGCATCTCCTTGCGAGGGTCAGGGCCTTCAGTTTCTTCGGTGCTCAGGAATTCTATACTGAACTTAGAACCCTGGCAAAAATCATAATTTTAGCTGTTTCTTAGGGATTATAATAACCAAAAATTAAAAATATTTCTGAGTACATTTTTTAAGCTGTTTCTTAGGGATTATACGAACTAAAAATTAAAAAAATATTTCTGAGTACCCCTATGAATTGCGTCTCAAACGTGAGGATCCTGAGAGTCCCAAAATGTCAAGTCCCGCGAGGGAGGCTTGAAGCCTCGCTCGATATGATACGGGAGTTTCCGAAAATTAGGGGTACCTGCGGGTTCCTTTAAAGGGTTCCTATAAAGGGGTACTATAAGGGTACCTTAAAGGGCTAAGAGTTTCCGAAAATGCGCGGTACCTTATCTTGGGGTCCTTAGAATCAGGATGCTACTATTTAGGGTATTGTATTACAGTCCCCTGTTTTCGGATATTCTACATATGATATAGGTGGGCTGTAGAGTAAGGCCCCCTGCTGGGCCCCCCAAGGAGTACGCTGTTCTCCTCACAAAGTACTACTTCAACCCTCACGAACCGTGAGGAGCATAAACCTGATTTGCTTGTCGGGTCTTGCTACACGACCTGATACACAATGCGCCGGAAACGCACCGAAAGACTATGTTAGACCCTAAACGAGATTTTTCATGACTATACTGTCAAAAGTTGTAAAGGAATGCAAGCTGATGCCTGATGGACACCCAACAAATAAGCCCAAAGCCCTCCAAGCTTGGGGCAAGCTACGTAATATAGGGACCTTAATAATAATTAGAGTAGGGTTTTGGGTTTTGGGGCCCATTATACGCTAATTACAATAAGGAACACCCAATTACTAAAGCCCCTAAAGCAGACTCGTGACCTCACCGAGTCACCAGAGCGGCCTGGTACGCGAGGGCGTCCAGAGAGACGTTTCCCTCCTTCGCAGTAGGGCCTATACACCCTATAGACCCTAAGCCCTCTAAACCATAAGCCCGAAACCGCTCTATAATTAATTGTCTGGACATCTACCGTGATGTACCGTGACGATGTTCTAACATGCGGACTATTTAGCGTTTAAACAGATGTTTTTTACAACCACCCATATGTGTTACCACCTCCGTGGCCGTCGGGCCCGTGCCACCAAGTCTATTTACAAGAGCGAATCTGTGGTGTTTAAACATGCGAAACATGCTGAACATAACTTTTCTAATCCCTTCCCACAAACATTAAACCCCCCTAATATAAAAACTCCCGGCCCCCGGAATTTTGCGGTTTCGGGCCCACAACTGAAGGTGAATTAAAACATTAGGGGGCCTAGGATTGTATTGGTTTAATAGAGCCAAAGACTACAGCAGTACTAATCCAATCGAAGAGACCAGAGCTTTAGGGTTTAGGGGTTCAGGGCTTAAGCTTTAGGGCTCTTAGGCTTTCGGGTATAAGGCTTTAGGGTTCAGGGTGGGACTGTCTGCTTTACAGCCGGAACGGCTGCGTGATGGGCAGTCTTCGTGTCTGGCTCATTATTCCTCTCAGTTCGACTCATACCCCGATGACCCGGACCCCCCCCCCCCTAATACAAAAACTCCGGTCCCGAAATCCAATTTTTATATTAGGGAGGGGTGTGTGTTATAGTTAAGGGGAAAACATTACTACCTCCGTGGCCTTGGCACTCCGGCCGCCCTCCATTTCTTTGAAAAGAGTTCACCGTGTATACTAAACCCTAAACCCTAAACCCACTATAGAACACTATAGACTGTCTAGTGATCTATAGTTTTCAAACCCCTTATGAGTGCAACCCTACCCTGGCAGCGGTCCACGAGGGCTTTACGGACTTAGCCCAAAGGATTCAAGGTACCTTTAAGGGTGCAAACTTCAAGTCTTTGAATCTTCACACCCAAAGGGTCCAGAGTACCTTTATGGTAGAATGTAGGGTTCCTATATTCGGAATTACAATTATGATTTGGGGAAGTATCCCCCATAACAGTACTTTGGACCCTTTGGGTAGGCTTCATGGTTTTCGGTTTGTGTTGTCATAGAATTAAGCCCGGTGCGTATCTACGCACAGGTTCCTAAGTCTCTCCCCTGAAGGGCCTTGAGCACCTTCGGGGATCCAGGATCTTTCAAAATCATAAACCCACAAAACCCTAAACCGCTCAAAACCAGCCATGAAGAGTTTTAGTAAACCCATATAGCCCTATGGCCCCCTCTCCCTCTCCCTCTGCCCCTTCCTCTCCCTGTCCCTCTCGCTCTCCTTTTCCCTCTCCCTCTCCTGGCCTTTAATTGCTGGCTTTTGCTGCCGCTTACTGGCCTTTACTGCACCCTCTCCGCCTCCCTCTCCCTTTCCCTCTCCTCCCCCCACCCTTTACTGGCCTTTACTGCCCGTCTCGAAACAAAGCCGCAAAGGGTCCCTCAAAGGAGCCCCTACATCCTGTAAGCCTTGGAACCTTTCAAGGAACTCTTAAAGGAGCGCCCTAAACCTCATTGGAAGCCTAAGAGGGATCCCTAAACATTTAGTAGTTTCGGGCTTAGGGGTTTAGGGTATAGGGTTTACGGTTTTTTGGGTTTAAGGCTTAGGGTTTGTAGGGGTTTAGGGTGTAGGGCAGGGCCCCTGTGATGAACCCCAGGAAACCCTCTTCGAAACCTGACAGGAAACAGTTGGGATTTAGGGTTTAGGTCATGAAGCCCGCTACACCCTCTTGGAAACCTGACGGGAAACCTTATCTTAACCAAAAGCCTTACAGGAACCTAGGGGGAGCCCTGAAAGGATTCGTTAACGGAGCCCTGTCCAAGCCGTAAGCCCTAGACCCTACGAACCCTTAAAGGGACCCTAACACTAAGACCGTGAAAGGAACCCTAAAACCCTTAAAGGAAGCCTTAAAGGAACCCTAACACTAAGACCCTCAAAAGAACCCGAAGAGCCGTAAAGCAAGGCTGAACGGAACCTTGACAGTAAGACCCTTAAAAGAACCCTAAGACCCATAAGCCTGAACGGAACCTTGACACCAGGACCCTTAAAGGAACCTTGACTTCAAGGAATCCTATTGAAGAACCTGTGTAGTACCCTTGGAGGGGACCCAAGTTAAGAAAAAACAACTCTATCTATCTATCTATCTATCTATCTCTATATATATATATATACATATATATTATGTATATTCATATTATTTATTATTGTTTTGTTTGTGTAGAATACCCTTGCAAGGCAGCAAAACAGGAACCCTCAAAGCTCGATTGGCTCCGGAGTCCTCGGCAGCTGCGACGAGCCTGAGACAGTCGGCCCAGCGGTGTGCTTGCGCCGAAGCATCGAGGGCGGCATTCAAGCTGGCGTCGTTCCTGGGTTAGGGTTTCTTGTGTTGTATGTTCAGGGTTTAAGGTTAAGGCTTCAGGCTTTCGGGTCTAGGGTTTAGGATTTCACCGAAGCACGTAGAACACCTTCGTGATTGAGCCCGACCGCAAAAAATCTTGTGTTCCATCTGAGCTGGAATCTGTTGCTTCGGTATGGGATAAATTCGAAACGGCTGGCACATATCCAAAGACCACGTAATGGATCTCTGAAATACATTGTCAATTCGGCAGTAAAATCTGACGTCACGCCACTCCCTTACACCAACGATGAGTCCTCGAAGCTCTGCCGGCAAGACAACGTCGAAATCTGCGACACCTAGAAGTGGCTGCGTGGAATTGACGCCGAACATCATGAACGGCAATAGGGGAGGTCTGAGAACGGGAGTCGGCGTCCAGTTTAACCTGAGGTTCGCCGGCACGACGAGGAGCATACTGAACTGGTGAATGTTCGTGCAGATCCACCTGGCCGAGCTTAGGAGTTTTATCATGCTCCTCAGGCGAGCCGACACTAGAAGGTCGGGCTGATCGATGTCGACGACTAAGCCCTGCCAGTTGTTCTTGTCGCGGACCACGTTCAACATTGTGGACGAAGCAGAAGCCAGTGCATGGAGAAAGGTGTGATCGAAGTAGAAGGATGGCAGGCGCTCAACCACTTCCACTGGCAGGATAACACCACCCCACCACAGCGATCATTTTGATAAACAACATGCGCTGCATCTGCCGGTGCAACATCTGCAGCAAATGTAGTCCACTCTGCCGGTGCATCGTAGAAAGGAGGATCCCAAAAACCAGAACTGTCCGAACCTTCAGTGTCAGACTCGCTATCCAAAAAAATTGGGAGTGTAACAGGTAATCTCTCCAAGTCAGCCGGCTGTGCGATGTACGGAGCTGGAAGCATGACCTGGACCGGCTGGGGATCATGCAAGAGTAGAAAAGGCTCGTCTTCTGGTTGCTCGAACTGTAGTGTGGCCAATGTTTCCATTATATCCGATTATATCCATTGCCGTGTTCTCGGCTGTTTTGCCGCCTACACAATCGATACGCATCGATGAAGACAACAAAGACGAGAACGAGCCGGTGCTGTGTGTAGTTGCATGGTCTTGCACTCGTGTTTCCGATGACTGTTTTGTACCAGCATGGTGCCATCTTCCAAGACACGGAGACCCATGAAATGGTGTTTCACGTAGAGCAAGTAGACTCCACAAGAGAAGCTTTGCTGATAGTGTGGGACGACATGATGCCTTAACGATTGCAGCAATGGATACACTGTTTAAGTTATCAATGAATAGGCTTTATAAACTGAAACTTACGAGCGGACAGCGAAGGGTAATAAATGTCAAGTGTAAATCATCCTGAGCAAGAAACTTGTAGGGCTGCAAAAGGCGGTTGCCGTCCGCCACGGCCCACATAGGGCCGTGTCTCGCGTACTTCACGCAGAAGCCGATGGATCGAAGTGCATCCACCAGGATGTGTCGCGAAACTTGGTGCCTCAGTATATCATCTCATCTGTATTCTGTTGTCTGTCAGATCTGCGTATAAGTTCAATACGGACGAGTTACAGTCGTCGGCTGGCCAAGGCATGGACTGTCTGGTCTTGGCCGATGTTAGGCCACGGACCGGCTCAGACATGAGGTGATGCCACAGAATTTGCTAGGACCTATGACAGCGATTGAACATGACACAGCATCATCACAGATTCTTGTGTCTATGTTTGACATACATCTCTAATGCTATGGATGGGTGGCACGTTCAAGTGACCCCTTCTCCCGGCAACGCCCGGAGCGTGCTTAATGGAAGGGATCCTTCTTGGTCTGCTCGGACCACTTGTCCTCTTGTGGACGTGGCTGGTCGGAAAGAAACGTATAGCAGGGCTCTGTCCTTCCAGCGGTGGATTTCGGCAGCTTCACATTGGCCGTGCTCGGCAGCCTGCAATTCTGCAAGACGATGTTGTCGCCTTGATTTCAGGATGTATCACTGAATGCAGTACATCACACAGAAGACGTCGTGCATGCTTGTAGAGACCAAGCAGCACCAACTGGGCGTGTCGTGAGACTTCTGACCATGAAGCCAATCCCTTGGTGATAGAGATAGCTGGTGGCACAGACAACTGCAGCTCTCGAGAGATGACATATGTGTTCTCCAGGGTCGAATATGCGGCACGGGAACATCGTCTGTGGTCATTCCGATCTTCCAGCTCTGCCAGCTCTTCCTGAATGTATTGCTCTCCTGCAGAGAGTTTCGTTGTAAGAAGCAGGACGATTATGCAAGCCTGAGCAAGTGGACGTGCCTAATGGCAAAGTAATATTTGCAGCCGATCTACTCTGTCGTGGATCTGGTTCATGTGCCGGTACCATGCATCCATCTCGGCAGCTGACAACAAGCTCAGACGCTCATCCGGCTCGGCTGCACATCCGACCTTAATCATGGGATGAACAGTGACATAACTGTATTCCGTATGATAATGCGGTCAGGCTGCATCAGCATATTCTGTGTGTTCGTCTTCTCCGTCGGCCTACAGCATAAGTCGATGTTGTGCCCATATCAACTTAGCGCAAGTGAACATGATGCATATGAATGCCAGCAGGCTACGCGCACAAGCTTGCGTCGTTGTGCTCCACAACCGTACGGTCTCTGGACAACTGATCTCCAGGATCTACCGCATCAGACCTTGGGTATACTCAAAGTAACTAGTCGAAGAACACTGTCAGACGTCAGATGTGACATGCAACAACATGGTGGGTCAGGTCCGAGGCCCTTACGCCGAAGCAAACTCGCAGGGTGACAGGGTCTCCTGGATCTTCCCCATGTGCACCCGCCTGAAACGAAGCGTATGAGGAAGAAACATTGTAGAAACAACCTTGCAAATACTATGTTCTAGCATAGTGCAACGAAGTGTCTTGCACTTGCCAGGGTTCTTGTTCTTGGTGCGGTTGGTCCGCAAATGCTCAGGGCGTTGATAGTAAGACAGCCCAGTTTCATCCAGTGTGGGGCCGCGTCCCATTACAAACCGGATAGGCTCGGTGAAAGGCTTATATATCTGCTTGTGTTTGCGGCAACGTCCTCCGCCGGAAGGATGCAGGACTAGCGACTGTGACTTGCGGTGCTTCCGCTTGGCGAGCGGGTCCATCAAGTCTCTTGCAGGCACCAAGAGCTGCCACCGCGTGGTGGAGTCTGCTGAACGTAGCGGATGAAGTCCTACGGCGACGTGAGGAAGCAAACATGGCTGGCAGTGCTACATCTGAGTCATGGGTAGTAAACACATTGCTGCTATCTAATATATGCATGACGAGCTGCCCATATCGATGGTCCGAGGCGGGCCTAGAACGCCGTTAACCGCTTTGAGCGGGATTACATCGGCCATTCCTCTGCAATGCGCAGCATCACCCTCTCAGGTACATGCTAGTCCTATCCAGCAATGTCCTGCCTTGCAATGCAGACGCGTTGGACGAGTGGAAATGCCAGAGGCGTTCAAAAAGCCTCATATCGGATGATCAGAAAGACCACACTAACATGAACATTCGTTACAAAGCACATTGGCCGTAGGTTTCGTGAGGACCGAAGTGCGACCGAGCTGCTTGAATCTTGCAAGATGTAGAATCGCCGACCGGCCGAATGCCAGCATAGGGCTTGTATCGGCCAGGCCTACTACAGGATAAACCAAATTGTAATGTCACATGGAATCTATGGATGCAGCAGCAATGAAGCAGGCCTGCTGGATCAAAGGCAAGGTAATGCTCACGCATGAACGGGGCCGCCATAGGTAGGAGCCTTGGAGTATAGGTAGGAGTCGCAGACTGATCTACGACATGCTGCTCGCACACTGCATTTAAGCAGCACAGATGAAATTGGAGCGCTTATGAAGTGGAATGGCACAAGCTTGAAGCTGAAGATGCAGACAAAGGCAGGAATGCAAAGTACTTATGCGTGGCACGCAGTTCTCATGCGAATTAGGGTTCTTGCCCACTGGACGCAGCGACATGCCACGCCTCTGCAACAGACTGCTATATCTGGTGTTCTTGTCAACTGTATGCAGCAACATGTCAGTCCTCTGCGACAGACCGCCATCTCTGGCTAATAGGTTTCAGGGTGTGGGGTTGTATAATAACCCCGTATAAAAATCCTTATCCCTGAGTGTTGTGATCGTTTTACTTTCTTCTTATCGTTTTACCAAGAAAAATGCGTTACCGTTTCGTTATGTTTTATCGTTGTATTTTCTTCTTATCGTTTTTCCACGGAAAACCATCAAAACCGAACACGGACATGTCAAGACTAAACTTAACAGCACGGGGTTATTATACAATCCCATGTCGGGTTTAGGGTTATTGGTTTCAGCTTTCAGGGATTCAGGGTGGAGGGTCCAGGATTTAAGGTTTCAGGGTTTGGAGGTTTAGAATGTAGGGCTTCCTTTATGGCTATCTACCAGTGTTCATCTAAGGCTTCCACAAGGCATGTATAGGGTGTAGGGCTTCAGGGCTCCTTATGCGGGGATCTGTAAGGATTCACCTTGAAGCTCTCTGTGACGGATCTGTAGGGCTGGGGGTGTAGAAGCTGATTCGGTGCTTCAAGAATTAAGGCTACGGTTTATGGGTTCCTAGACCAGAACGGTAGAAATACTCTGTCAGATGATGTATACCTTTTCAAGAAAGAGATCAACGACAATCTAACTACAGGATATACTTTCTGAAGCGAAAGTATCTGAATTCTGATATGGTATGTACGTTCAGGCTAAAGGCCAAAATGGACGCGATGTTTACACTGTTGATGCGTCGGGGAAACCTGCTTTGATTGAACCATACTAAACATCGTCTTACTTACAAGCTATGCCTGGGAAAGAAGGGAAACTTCTCCTGAAACCCTAACCCTGAAACCCTATGGATTCTTCATGGCTTTAAGGGAGCCCGTACAGGTCATCTCACTAAGCTCATCAAACTCCACCGTGGGATGCTTGGGAACATTGGTGAGTGTATATTTGGGGGTGCTGTTGTGGGGTTACCCACTCACGGTCAAAGCCTATACATCACAAAAAAACGTTTTTTTGCTGAGGTGCTGGTGACGAAACGGTGCTTGCAAACAAATTGCAGAAGCCCAACGACTAAGAACATGCAGGCTGATCTGCGACAGTGTTACGGAGCCCCAAACAGATCCTGAACTGCACTGCTGTCGCCACCACAGTGAGAGGCACCCCAACTCATGACCGATCCATCACCAAGAATGGCAGCAAAAGCGCCGCGGGAGGCCTGGATCTGCTGCACATTCTTCAGCTGGCCCTGCACAGAACTGCTCTCGCCACCGTAGCCAGCATCACCCCAGGTCACAACCGATCCATCGCCAAGAATGGCAGCAAAAGCATGACCAGTGGCTTGGACCTGCTGAACATCCTTCAGCTGACCCTGCACGGCACGACTGTCGCCACCACTCGAAGAATGACCCCAGGTCACAACCGATCCGTCGCCAAGAATGGCAGCAAAAGCAGCATCAGAGGCTTGGACCTGCTGCACATTCTCCAGCTGACCCTGCACAGCACTGCTGTCGCCGCCCTGGTGAGGAGTACCCCACGTTACAACAGATCCATCACCAAGGATAGCAGCAAAAGCACCGTGAGAGGCTTGGACCTGCTGCACATTCTTTAGCCGACCCTGAATAGCACTGCTGTCGCCACCAAGGCCAGGATGTCCCCAGGTCACCACAGATCCATCGCCAAGAACCGCAGCAAAAGCCCCCCGGGATGATTGGAGCTGCTGGACGTCCTTCAGCTGACCCTGCACAGCACTGCTGTTGCCGCCGAAATTGCGGGCATCAGCGCCCCAAGTCATCACCGATCTATCGCCAAGAATGGCAGCAAAGGCGCCGCAGGAGGCTTGTATCTGCTGCACATTCTTCAGCTGGCCCTGCACAGCAGTACTGTCGCCACCCCAGGCGGCATCACCCCAGGTCACGACTGAACCATCAACAGGAAAGGCGGCAAAGGCACTGGCAGAAGCTTGGATGTGCTGCACATTTTTTAGCCGAGCCTGCACAGCACTACTGTCGCCACCAAGCCTAGCATGACCCCAGGTCACCACAGATCCATCGCCAAGAATGGCAGCAAATGCCCGTGAAGTGGCATGGATCTGCTGCACATTCTTGAGCTGACCCTGCACAGCTCTACTGTTGCCACCATCTCCAGCATCACCCCAGGTCACAACCGATCCATCGCCAAGAATGGCAGCAAAAGCACAACCGGAGGATTGGACCTGCTGAACCTCCTTCAGCTGACCCTGCACGGCACGACTGTCGCCACCACTCGAAGAATGACCCCAGGTCACAACCGATCCGTCGCCAAGAATGGCAGCAAAAGCACCATCAGAGGCTTGGACTTGAACATGGCTCAAGTGAAAGGTCAGTGAGTCTCCATTCCGGGTCGGCGCACATCCATCCAGAACACTGCCAAATGAGTCCAGCAGCCGTCCTTTACCGACTCCTAGCGCCCTCTGCGCCCGCCGTGTCAATTCCGCCACAGTTTCATCGCAGTCTGCGTGCACTGTAACGCTCTTTCCACTGAGCAGTGAAACTTCCAGAGAAATCGACATATTGCAGCCCGAAAGAGTGAAACTGCAAACCTCAAATAACTAAAACGTGAATGCGAGATCCCGAACCAGTAACCGTAAGCATTGCCAAATACCCGGGCTCGGGAAGCTCACTGGAAAACGGCTAGCTCCTGTTACTGTACATGTTCAGACTCTTTAGGCTAGGGTCCCTAAATCCTAAACCCCAAACCCTAAACCCAAAACCCTAAACCTCAAGTCTTAAACCCTAAACCCTAGGGTTTAGGGTTTACGGTTCAGGGAGTTTTCTGGGGTTAGAGCCGTGGGTCTGTGCGCCTTCACTCTGTGAATTCCAGACCTAACCGCTGCCTAGCCAGGGTCCGTGTCACGGTGATGATATAGGGCCCTTAATAATTCGAACAGGGTTCTGTGGCATCTATAATTATAAAAACGAAACCACCCCCCTTGGACCCCCCTCCCTTAAGGATACTACATTAAGTAAGAGTTCGAGGCTGGGTCTGTGCGGCTTTAGGATCGGAAAGACCATCCAATGACCATCACTTCAATAGGAAGCTTGGTGAAGGGCATCTTCCTCAAGTACAATGGGCGTTCCCGAACATATGGGACCCTGATATTGTACCCTAAATAATCCTTATTACAGTAGTTATAAAGACCGATCCCACAATCAGGTACCCCTACTTTTCGGAAACTCCCAAACGGAGCTCCGTGTCAGAATGGCATCCTTGAGAAACGCGGCGAGAGTGCCCGCGGGCGGACATGCGACAAATGCGTCGGCATCGCTCGCACACCCAAATCCGAAACCAAAACCCCTAAACCCTAAACCGTTCCCCAAATCCTAAACCCCTAAAGCCTAAACTTCTCCCACGCTCGCGCACACTCCCCAAGACCCCTCACACCATGAACCCTCAAACCGGAAGCCCAATAACATAGGGGCCCAAATAATTACCTGTACCATTTGATTTTGGGGCTTCCTTATTATAGCTATAGTATGTTATGACCCAAAACCCGATTCCAATTATGAAGGCCACTTGGGGGAATTTAAGGGGCTCATTATTCTGATTCCCAATTTCCTGGCATAAGTCCTTGTCAAAGGAAGGTTTCTTACGTTCCAGGTATGCCCTAAAACTACCGTTTGTCCGAGCAACGGTCGAAGCCCCACCGAAGGCAGCTCCGCAAGCAATGCGAACACGGCCGGCCAGTGGCCAACATTCTTACCTCCAGCTCGATGAGAGGGTTCCACGGGTGTTCCCAAATGTTTGTACAGGGGTTTGCTGCGGGTTCTACGAGTCGTTCTCAAGAGTGTGTACGGCTCCAGCGGTTCTAGAAGAGGTTTAAAACAAAGATCTATAATAATTATGGGTTGCACATGGGGTCTATAAGGTTAACAAGCAGTCTTTCAGAGATCCATAAGGATATAGAAAGGCTTCTGCAAGAGTTGAGCCCTGAACCGCCAAGATGCAGGCACTGATCACCGCATTGTAGGTGAGAATGGTCGGGCGAAGCGTCCAGTCAGGCACCTAGAAAGCGTTGGCTTTAGGGTTTCGGGTTTAGGGGTTTAGGTTTAATTAGGGGATTGGGTTTAGGGTTCAGGGGTTGTGGGTTTCGAGTTTAGGGTAGCCAGACCACTTCTTGCGGAACAACGACCAAGAAACCCAAGAAACGTCTGGGAACCCAAACTGCAACCAAAAGGACGCGAAGCCCTAAGCCCTAAAGATCTAGTTCGAACCCAGAGACCCATAGACTCACAAGCTCTGAACTAAGGAATACACCTTAAGTTAAATCAAAGCAAAAACCCCGAGCCCGACACAATCTTGCAAAGTTCCAGAAATCCTGTAAAGCCTGATTCTTACACGTTTGAAAGACTCCGGTAACCTTAAAAGTAGGGGCCCCTATGCCCTTATACTATGAAACCCTATCTATCTCTCTCTCTCTCTCTTTTTCTCTCTCTCTCTCTCTCTCTCTCTCTCTCTCTATATTTATATACATATATTCGTATATATATATATATATACATATATATATATGTAGTCAAGAGCCTTGAACCCTTTTAGGGTTATATCGTCCTGAAGTAACCTAGGATCCCCCACGCTGCCCAGCAAATCCAGCGCCATCTCCCAGCAGCTGGCATTCTCCAAAGCACCGAGGGCAGCATTGCCTTACAAGGCCTTAAGGTTTGATTTAGGGCCTACGGTTCTATATAGGGTTTAGGGTTTAGGGCGCGCGTAGCCCAGAAAAGGGCAAGGTTCGGTTTAGGGTTTAGGCTAAACGGTTTAGGGTTTAGTCAATACGGAGGCCCTTCGTCCAAGCCCTTGCCGGCCCTACTCCCTAAAGCCCCCCAGAATCTGACCGAAAATGCACCTCCAAACACAAACTATAAGGATGGAGCAGTTATCACAGTCCTGATGAAACAAATCAACGAGGTAGGGATATCCCACCCAAAAGTCCACGTTTGGGTCCTTCTTTGGTTCCTGGTTAAGACCTGAACGCGGTCCAAGTGCAGGACATCACATCCGCTGGAAGGCCCTTCCCCAAGGCTTCCCACAGCAGTGCCAAAGCCTGCGGCCACCTCCGCCCTTTCTCCTGGGCTTTGAGATACTAAATTCGTTCTCCAATGCTTTACAATGTGACAATGGGCTGCTCATGGGATATTAGGGCTTATGAACCCCTAAACCCTAAACCCTACCTTGTATACAGGTTATTTGGTTAAGTCGACTTCTGGCAAGGCGGCATAAGGGAAGGCCCGGATTGAAATTCGGGTCTACTGGTCTGGTTTAGGGTTTAGGGTAGGGCTTCGGGACTGGTAAATCATGGAAATTCGGCTCCCGGATAAACAAGCGCCCTGATTCCAACTGCGATCATGGCTTGGGGTTTTATTAGTCAGGGCTCTACAAAACCGCTACATTCCCCAAAGCAGCCTACGGCACAGCTACTGCTACTACTACCTCTGCTGCTGCTGCTACTACTACCACCACCACCACCACCACCACCACCACCACCACAACTACGAATACGATGACGACCACCACCACCACCACGACGACGACAACTCTATGACGACCCTGAGCTCTAGGGGTTCGTGAATGCTTTGCCGGCTTTCTTTTATCGCTGCACTGGCATCGCAGGTTTCAGGCGCAGGTTTGCTGCTTGTTTCACATGTGGGTGAATGAGGGAACCCGAAGGCCTCAGAACAAATCGCTGTACTAAGAGTAAATACTTGCATCTGAAAAATGTGGGCTTCACCTATAAGTATACTGCAATTTTGGAACCAATCACAAACGAGCACTGGGTCAGCTCGAAAACATCCGCACCGTGTCTGCTGGGCCTGACGATGATCCTACTATAGGGAGAGACAAACCTAGAACCTGAATCCTAAACCCGATATATGCGGTAAACCCTACACCCTAACCCGAAGCCCTGTAGATCCCTCACAGAAACTCTTTTAAAAGAATCCTCATAGATCCCTGTACAGGAGGCCTAGAGCAAGCGCCAAACCCTAACTCCCGACCCCCGAGTGGGCCTTTAAGGTTTAGGGTTTAGGGTTTAGGGTTTGGGGTTTAGGGTGTAGGGTGTAGGGTTTAGGGTTTAGGTATCATTAGGGTTTGGGGTTTACTTCGGGGCTTGGGCTTTAGGGTTTAGGGCTCTCAACTCCTAAAACCCCGTTACACCCATGTCCAGGGTCGCAAGAGCTGATCGCTGCATTGTACCTTCTTCAGATTGCATGTTTGATGTTCACCCTAAACCCTAAACCCTAACGCCTAAACCGTGTCTTGTGGTGTTCTTAGTTACGGCTCCTATGTTCGGGTGTTTCCCTTTTTGCTCTGGCTACGAGTTTCAGAGGTCTCTGTACTGGTTTGAGGTATGGGACGCAGGTTTGTTGGTGCAGGGATCAGGATTTCTTTGAATCCTTCTGACCGCATCGGCTCTTGCGTGTAGCAGCCTAGCTGGGTTAAGCTTTCTATTTTTTATGTTAACGCCTCTGGGTTTAGCGTTTAGGGAACATTCACAGGTAGACTTTGGAGGCGTTGGTGAGTTTCTCAATGCAATACATGTATTCAGGAGCCCTTGGGGATTACCGACTTGCTTCAGTCCCCCATAATGCCCCCCCATAACACATGTGGGCAAGGTTTCGGTTGTAGGATTTCGATTTCTGTGGTCAAAGGTCTTCTGACAGTTTGTTTAGTTTAACAGGATTTCTCATTGTAGTGTAAATATGTGTATACAAATAGATGAAGGGACTCGAAGGACTGGCATTGGTACACAATTCTTGGGCTTGTACATGTACTATGGGAACTGCAGGATACGGCTTGCTGGCACTGAAGTTTCTAGGAAGGGTTCTGCGGGTTTTCATGGTCCCCAACCGTGAATTGGATACCTTATGAACAGATAACTTCACCTCAATGGTGGTCTAGAATAGTATACTCTCAATTGGGAGTAATGCTAGCAGTTGTGCAAGCTGTGTCTTGGCATCCAGAAAGCCAAAAAATGATGGTTCAGGATAAATGTCACGGAACATTGCTAGGAAATCTCAAAGAACACCGCATTGTTCAGAAGTCTCTGGATGGGGCATGTACGGAAGCACAACCTTAGCGGCCCTAGGGTCAGGGATCCCCCTTAAATCCAGGTAGCAGGACAGCAGGGCTCTTGAATGCTCTAGATTCCCGAGTTATCAAACTAGGGGATGTGCAGTCTCTGGCACCTTTACGTCACCCTGTCCGATGGTCCTTTCCCAGGGTCCAAGTACCCAGTAATCATATACTCTCCAAAATCCTAACCTACATAACCACTATCCTAAACCCGAGTACCTAATTATTGGGTCCTTATAATAGAACCTTTATAGTAGCCCTTGTAAAAGAACCTTCTAGAACTTAAAGGAACCCTATAACTATTGGGTCCTTTGGACCCCTGTGGTATGGATAATGACATCACAGCGCCGAACTCCCCGAAGGACATGCTCCGTTGATGCCATGCCACGTGATGATGTTCGCCTGGAGGCGTTGAGTCCTTACATTTTGACAGCAAAAGGTCGGAGGTTAGCATAGCATGTAGGGGTATGTGTAGTATCGCATGGTGGAGTATAGCCTAAACAAGTCAGGATATAGTAGGGCATGGCACGGCATGGCATGGCAGAGAATATAATAGTATGGTATGGCGGTACGGCATGGTATGGCATTGTATGACCCTGAGCCCTAAACCCCAAGCCCTAAACCGTAAACCCTAAGCCCTAAACTTTATTTCCTACTTAAGGGTCCCTGCGCACAAGGCCTAAAGACTTTAAGGCACGAGTCGTCAGGAGGCGGAGGAGGCCCAAAGCCCGCTGCCACTCTCCGGCTTTCTCGCAGGCACCTCATGCTATTTGGGGTTTAGGGGGTCAGTTTGGGATTTAGGGTTGAAGCTTAGGGGTTAGAGTTTAGGGTTTAGGGTTAGGGTTTAGGTTTATAGAGTTTAGAGTTGGGGTTTAGGGCATAGGATATACCATGCCTTGATGTATAGTCAGTGCTTGTAGGGGCTCTGAAGGCTTATTATGTTTAAGCATGACTATCATGAAGCTTGTAGGGTTCGCAGTCTACAGGCTTATGTATAGAGTTTAAACGCAATCTCAAAGGCTCATAGGGCTTATTGAGTTCAAAGGGCTTATAGAACATATATATATATATATATATACATATACATCTACATCTACATCTACATCTACATCTACATCTACATCTACATCTACATCTACATCTACATCTACATATACATATACATATACATACATACCTACATACATACATACATACATACATGTGTGTGTATATATATATATATATACATACGCGGTTTGTAGGGCTTGAAACAGTTCTTGGAGATCCTCTGTTCTGCTTCTTGGCGTTTCGAGGTAAAGGGGTGTTGTACGTACCCTACCCTATAATGGGCGATCTAATGGGTATATAATAGCTATATTGAGGGTATATACTAGCTATATTAAGGGTATATATAATAGCTATATTGAGGGTATATATTTAGGGGTCCTTATTGAGGGCGAGGGTCCTTGCAGCAGTTCTTCTATCAGGGTTTTGTAGCGGTTCTACAAGGGTTCTCACGGGGGTCATAAGCGTGACCGGCTTCTTGAAGAGCAGGGGTACCTTGTTTCGGGGTCCTTCCTCCAAGGATCTTGCCATGTAGAGTTCTATGCTAGCCTCCTCCACTCTCTGCAGACGCTGCGATGCTTTATCCACGTCGGTCAGAGGCTGGGGACTCGAAAAATCTGCAGTCCTGTTCCTTGCCAAGGTTAGACTCTACAAAGGACTAAAGTGAACAAAGATCAACGTCAATTCGCCGGTACACTCCGGATCCTAAAAATCGTATACGCCCTAAAGCCTCAATCAGAACGCTGCAGCTACGACTGCACACAACCCAAAAACCTGATTCTTGAGCACTTAGACCTTTTAAAACCTCCACAGACCTATACAACCTTCTCCATAAAGCCATTATGAAATCCCTCCCCCTTGCAAAGCCCACGTAACACCCTTATAAAGCCCGTCTAAACCCTAACAGATCCTACCTCCCCAAACCCTACAATAAGCATTAGGTGATGACCCCTTAATAGCGTACTACTACTACTACTACTACTACTACTACTACTACTACTACTACTACTACTACTACTACTACTACTACTAGAGTCGGATCCGGGGCTATTCCATCAAGAAGTTCACCTTAGCTGAGCCCTCGGCTGATCGCCGCACCGTAGGTCACCACATCGGGGAAAAGATGCAAGCTACTTGCAACCAGCAAGAGTCCCAATGCCTCCCAGGGGTTTGGGGTTTAGGGTGTAGGGGTGTAGGGTTTACTAGACGTTTAAGGCTGAGAGTAGAGGGTGCTTCAACAATTAGACCAGAGGATTTGGGCAGCATGTTATACTAGACGATAACCAGAATGTAGAATATGTAAGGGCTGCAAGTGGATAGTATCGGTACTGAGTCCGCTCTAGAGGTTTAGGGTTCAAGATTTCGCGGTGCAGGGTGATACGGCCTGCATACTTGAAATCTGAGGCTCTTTTCTTTCAAGAACACTGCTGAAAGTGGGTTGGCTGTGCAGGGTTTTTGCTGAGGGATACAATGGGAAGCCGAAGGCTTCTCGTAATGCCGACCACTTTTCTAACGAGCCGCCACGTATCGGGATCTGCATGTGATCAAGACACCTACTTTTATCCCGATAAACGTAGGGAAGAAGGTTGGGTATACATTACCCTTTTCATCCTGACCCTAAATCTGTGAAGCACGGAAACGCTGATACCCCCACGCCGAACTGATCCAGTATCTCGTGTCGGGTTCAAAAGCTCGCCGACATCCCGCCATGTGCTCCAAACTCTAGACTCCCGAAACCTCCCAACCCCAAATGTGATCTTTGAGAACTTCGGAACCTGAACCCACTCGGCAGACTTCTCACAGGTGCTGATGACTGCGTTGAAGCTTGTGATGTCTCCTGGGTTGCAAGATTGCCCCTAAACCCTAACCCCAAGGGTCCAAGGACCCAATAATCACATACTCTCCAAAATCCTAGCCTACATAACTACTATCCTAAAACCGAGTACCTAATTATCGGGTCCTTTGGACCCTAAACCCTAAACCGTGGGCGTAAGCACATCCAGGGTTCTCTTCTAAGGGGCGCGAAGCTGAGGATCCTAGGAGTAATATAGGGGCCTTCATCAGTAGACTAGGGTTCCTTTAAACGATTCCTATACCTGGACCCCCACAGTATGTAGAATAATAGCCTTTTATAGGTATTGGGCCAATATTTTACCTACTTTGGGGTAAGGGTTATTATGATAAGGGTACTATCATATAGGGGCCTTCATAGTTAGAATAGAGCTTTTGGAGCCCATCATGCTATACTTGTAGTAAGGAACCCACAAAGCCCCATTCTATTAATTTAACAAGGCCCCTACGTTGCCGCGTTCAGGTCCCTATCCGGTCGGCAAAGCATGAAGAACAAGCAGGGAATCTTGGGTACGGCCCCCATACAGTAACAGTCTATAATAAGGCTGCGAGAAAGGTCCGTATATACCTACAAAAGGAATATTATCCAACTGATACTGGGTGCATGGGGGCCGTACACAAAGGGAATCAACATCCAGAACTGAAGAATCCTAGAGGAAGACATTGTTTCCCAAGCGCAACAGTGTATAGAGATTGAGAGAGCTGGGAACTTGAGGGTGCTATCTGCTCTATGTGTAGAAGTGCTCAATCAGTATGTGAAGTATGTTTGTTCAACCATCACCCATACGAAATAACACCGAAACTAAACACTCACCAACGTTGAATCGGAGCCCCACTTCCACTCACCAATACTTGCGTCATATACTTCGGCCCAAAACGCACAAGATGGGAGGTACTTCAGGGAACGCAATAAATGGGTTTTAACACTCCGATCGAGGTATGGGGAACCCTAAGCCAGAGCCATTCTTCAACCCCTAAACCCCTATACCCCTAACCCCTAAACCCTTAAACCCTTGAACCCCTAAACCCTAAACCCCTAAACCCCCAACCCCTAAACCCTTAAACCCATAAACCAATGTATAAACTCGCAAAGCACTTACTGGCGGTAGTCGAGCCCAAAATCCGGCACTTCAAAACCCCTGCAGCCTCTTAGGGTTTAGGGTTTAAGTGGTTTTAAGGTTCAAGGGGGTTCAGGGTTTAGGGTTTCGGGCACAATAACCCGCCCCCTCCAAAAGACACCACACAAAGGATCCCAAGGATCGTCGCAGCTCTAGGTCGGCGGCTGCTTGCAGCAGACCAAACGCAACCTGCTGTCCGAACACGATAGATCCGATAGATCCGAACTAGAATGTAGGGCTTTGGGGTTTAGGGCTTTTTCCGTGCAAGATGCTAAATTAGGGGTTAATGTACTCTGCCCAAGGTTTCAAGTACTTCTTCGGATTTATGGTAACAATTCGATAATTTATGGTGCTAGTTAGTGAGGGCTTCGGGCTTTGGGTTAGGGTTTGATGTTGGCAGCTTCGTGGCTTTGAACCATAAACTCCACCCTCAAGACGAGACCCTTACCCTAAGGGTCCAAAGGACCCGATAGTTGGGTAAGTGAGTAAGTGAGGGTTTGGGGTTTGGGGTTTAGGGTTTAGGGGGGAGTTTGGGATAGTAGTTCTGTGTAGGTTCATATGTAAGAGAGTATAGGATTCTTAGGTGGGCCCTTGGGGTAAGCCCTAAACCGCTAAACGTCGCTCTCATGCTTGGTAAAAAAGGGGCCTTACGTAATAATTACCTATACTACTTTGGAGGGTTCCTCACTATAATCATAGTAATAATATGCCCCCACAACCCTATTCTAATCATCAAGGCCCCTGTACTTCCGTTGAAGCAGGCCTGCCAGCGAGCCGCCAGCTCACAGGCACTTGCTGCAGCGTTGAAGGAGATGATGGTCCACTGCAGCCTCTCGTGCTTTGGAGAACGGGGCTGCTCAAACAAGGCTCTGGGTTCTGGATTTCTCAGCAGGGTTTTGCATAAATTATGTCATACTCTACCCGTTTAGGGGTTTAGGGTTTAGGGGTTTAAGGTTGCAGGAAGTTCGGATTTAGGGCGTTGGTGGGCTGCGGCATCAAACCATGAAGGCTAACATGTAGCATAGAAAGATGGAAGCGACACATGTCCAGCTTCTTTTCTCACCACTGTAGAACATACGGCTTTGGCGTGATATTCGTTGTGTAAACCTGTGGCTTCTGCATACCAGACGAAAGGCCTGCGCAACAGAAACCTTCCACGGCTAATTAACTGAACATGCGACCTCAGGGTTTAGGGCTTCGGGGTGAGGTTTTTGGTTTACCGTTCCGTTTGGGTACTTCTACCCTCAGTGCGAAAGCTTTTATAAACTTATTTTAAACTCTAAACCCTAAACCCCTAAACCCTAAACCCTAAACCCTAAACTCCTAAACCCTAAACCCCTAAACCCCTAAACCCTAAACCCCTAAACCCCTAAACCCTAAACCCTATTAAGTAGAGTCTCCGTGAGGCCTGGTTCGGCCAATCTCCTCCAGCAGGCACAGTGCCCGTGACCACTGTGAGGCGCCTCCACAGGCCTTTGATGGGAGGCCAAAAAGGGGGGTTTAAGATTCTTGGGGTAGGGATTCCTTAATATGAACCCTATTATGGGAACCCTAATCCCTACTAAAGCCCCATAGGCTAAAACCGCTTTTGGCCTCCGCAGGCCTTGCGGGCGGCTTGACTTCACGGTCAAAAGGCCCCTGTAAAGGGAACTCCAGAAAGTTGGAATATGGATTAATGGTAGGATCCCCTATAATTTACCTTAAAGGGGTTAGGATAATGATATTCCAACTTTCTGGCTTCTAGTGTACTGTGCTGAGGGCTTATGAAGCTCTGTAGCATCTTGCCGGCTTCCAGGTTTAGGGCTTTACCCAGAGGGCCCATGTAGTTCCTTTTTGGGATTGCCTTACAGGATTCTATATAGGAACCCCAAAATGGAACTGCTTTGGGGCCTTTGGGTAGTGTATGAGGGTTGAGAATGCCTGATAGCTTAGAGTTCATGTGTTTTGGGCCAGCAGTTTTGAGTGCCGACTTTAGCCCCAAGCAACACCGCAACACGGCGGTCCAGTCCAGCGCTGGGCACTCTAAAAACACAACAAACTCCCAACACCCACACCCTTAGTCAAAAGGAAATATCGAAAACAATTGGATTTAGCTTGCTCTTGCCAGCCAAGATGCGGAAATGGCTGCATTGTAGGTGATTACCTGTAGGGCGGTTGTGGGGGTCAGTGCTCCAAGCTGGAGAGCGCGTTCTACAAGGGCTCATTAAACCCTAAACCCCTATGGATCTTTTTGGCCCTAAATCCCTATAGATCCTTTTTTAATCTCTATAGATCCTTTTTAAAATCCCTAGATCCTTTTTTAGAAACCCTATATAGATCCTTGTTTAAAATCCCTATAGATCCTGTTTTGAAGTCCCTATAGATCCCTTTTTGGATCCCTCAATCCAAGGGAAGCAGGAGGGACCCTTAATAAGGACCCCTAGGCAATATACCCTTAATATAGCCATTATATACCCATTATATAGCCCATTATAGGGTATAGGGGTCCCCATTTAGGGTCCCTCCTTTTCCCCTTTGACTCAAAGGAGCCCTTCACCGAAGTTTCGAGGCCCCCGGCGTTCGCTCCGAGTCCCGGCGTCGAGAGGAGGGCGCCCAACAGCCCAAGAGCCATCTCCCACTCCTGGGATTTAGGATTATTTGTAGGGTTTATTAGGATGTGGGGTTTAGAGTTTAGGGCTTTAGGATTATTTATAGGGTTCATTGGGATTGGGGGTGAAGGTTCATTTATGGAGTTTAGGATTTGGGGTTTAGAGTTTAGGGTTTAGGGTTTAGGTTTATAGGGTTGAGGATTTGGGGGATCAGAGTTTAGGGTTTAGGTTTATAGGGTTGTGGATTTTTGGTTTAGAGTTTAGGGTTTAGGTTTTAGTGTTCAGGATTCCAGGATTTGGGGTTTAGGTTTGCAGGGTTGAGGATTTGGGGTTTAGAGTTTTTCGTTTAGGTTTTTGAAGGTTTATGGGGTATGGGGTTTTGGGTATTGGGTCGAGGGTCGGGATTCTTTTGTCTGCGATGTGGGTGGATCAGAAATCATATGGCTTGAGGGGTTTTGGAAGCTTTAAGGTTTTCATTATGATGTTTATAATGATGTAGGGGCCTTAATAATTAGAATAGGGTTGGGGGGGTATGTTATATTATACTGTAATTGTAATAAGGAATGCCCAATATCCTCTTCTAATAGTTGGTGGTCTATGGCGTAGAAATGGGCCATGAGATTTAGGGAATGTGGCTTTAGGCAGATCAAGGCCCAGCCGACAATAAAAACCCTCCACAAAAGCCAGTCTTTTGCACTTGGGGTCAAGGGCCTAAGGATGGGAGTCTATCGGGTGAGCCAGCCTAACTGCACCCTCGCCCAAACAGCAGTTTAAAGTCTTGGGGCCCTTAAGCTCTACTGATGGGAGGCCAAAAGGGAGGGGTTTAAGATTCTTGGGGTAGGGATTCCTTAATATGAACCTTATTATGGGAACCCTTATCCCTACTAAACCCCCATAGGCTACACTCCCTTTTGGCCCCCAAAGCTCTACACTTTCCGCTTTAACGGAGAGTTGCGGTGGCTTCTGCCCTGAGCCCAAGCTCCTGAAGCCCCACGTGCCAAAACAACAAGGAAGGCTCAGGGTTTAGGGTGGTATACCTTAATTAGAAGCTGCCCCCACCCTGTAATAGTGACTACAAGGATTACATTAGGGCCCTACTATATTCCTATTATGCCACTATGACAGGGTGGGGGCCCCTTCTAATGTATACCTGTCCATATGTGTAAACATGGCAAACGCACCAAACAGGTTGCTTCCGCTTCAACCACCGCAACAGTAAAGGAAATGACAGAAGGATAAGAGCGATTTACATCTGGTCTCAAAGTCCAGATACAGCAAGGTCGACCGCCAAGGTGCTTGAGCCCTGCCGGAGGCATTAATGGCTGTGCCGTAGGTGACGATGCCTGGGGGGTTGTGGGTGCAGGGCTTGCGATCTAGGTTACGGATCTTAGTTTTGAGAGCTGCAACGTCCTTGGGATTTGGGCTCAGGGTTTAGTGATTCAGGGTCTAGGGCTTTGCACCGAAGAATTTGAAAAGCCCCGAGTCAGGTCTAGTACCTTCGACCCGTTGCCACAGGTGGTGTTTCTTTTGGGGTATCTTTCTTGATAGAATGCTTTTGAGTCTTCTGGCCTTGGGGATTTGCTCCCCAAGTCTGGGGCTTTCGTGAATGACGTTTAGGGGGGAAGAAAGCGACTTTTAAACCCAAAGCCTCAATGCAAAGCCTTACTACTGAGACTAGGGCAGCAGTGTCCTCTATGGTACGCGTAAATTGGCTTGAATAGCTACAGTAGGTGTTCAGACTGACATAATAACGGGGGCCTTCACGACTAAAATCGGGTTGTGGGGCTAATTATGCCACAGTCAGAAGAAGGAATATAACACAAGAAGCATTATTATTAGTAGCAGCAGTAGTGGTGGTAGTAGTAGTAGTAGTAGCAGTAACAGTTGCTCCGATATTGTTTGAAGGCATCTTCGGGACTAGATGCTGACCTCCAATCGCTCCTCAACCAGCTCTTCCAGAAGGCAAAAAGCATGTTGCCACCTCAGCGTGGCTACGGAGACAAAAAAATGCCTGTCATTTATGTAAGAGTTTTGGGGGTTGGGGACTTAGGCCAAAAACATCAGGAGTAACAGGTGGAATCCTCCATGCACGGAGGTATGATGTTTTGATATGCCTGTTTTCGCGGCCTTGGTATGACCGCCGGAATGCGTGATGCAGTGAGATCTTGCCCCACCAACCAGAAGAGTTCTAAGAATAGGAATCGCTGAGCCTGAAACCATACACGCCCAAAGCTGCAGCCCCACACGCCAAACCCCAAGCCCTGGATACTTACCCCTAGCCTTACTGTAAGAGGGTGATTCCGAACATAAGCGAGCCAAAACAGCACAACCCACAGCTCACACTCTAAATGAAAACTTTACTGTGTGCAACCTCTAAGAAGACCATGTGCGAGCCTGAAAGCAGGCTCTAACACAGTACACCAAAACCTCCAAGGCCCTTGTAGAAACCCCACATACCAACCCCTTGACAAACCCTTAGTTACAGAAAGCATTATAGAGAGCATTCTTTAAACCCGAACAGCAGCTCTTGCAGAACCCTTGTAGAAACTTGCACGGCGAAATGAAGAATCAATCAATCCTAAACCCTTTACCCACAGGCTCTATAGTAGTTCCTTTTGTGGGCTCATATCAAGAACCCTATAAGGTAATTCCCAAACGGAACTACTGTGGAGCCTAGGGGAGTAAACTCTAAACCACTCAGAGCCACTGGGCAGCCTTTCCACAGGAGGCCATGGTAGCGTTGTAGACCACGGTGTTGCTCTCGAAGCCTTCGCCCTTCAGAGAACCTGAAATCCCTTCCTAGGGTTTAGGGTTTCCTGAAATTCCCGCATGATGAGGATCCATGTATCTACATAGTATTGTGCTTTGGCCCTAAAGTACCTATATGGGGACTACTTCCTGTTTGGGGTTTAAGGTTCACAGGTTGCTTCTGCGGAACTTGGTGTTTCAGGGAAAGGTTTTGGAAATGAGGGTTTAAGGTTTAGGGTTTAGGGTTTCGGGTTGGGGGTTCAAGATTTAGGATTGACAGTTGCCTAGCTGCTAAGCAATCAATGATTCTTCAGTTGCAGTAGGAACCCCAAGAAGGTGCAACGTTACCGAGCCAGCTGGTATGGCTTAGCTTCTGAGGGCTCCCAGAGTCCTCTCTAGTGGTGCGACTGAATCTGACCCCCCCCCCCCGCTTTCAATCCTAAAAACATAACCACCTATCATGGGGGACTAAAGGTTAGCCTTTTTGGGTATATAGGGATTATACAGGGACTATGGGGATTATATAGGGGCTATACTACCCAAAAAAGGTTAAAGGTTACCTACTCGACTACTAGGACCATATCTGCAAGCCCGGCTCAGCCTTCGAAGTTTGCTTTCGGGATTCGGCTGGCTTGCTGTTCGAGCCTCATCTTACTACGGGGGCCTGAGTAATTTTAGCCGGGCTTTGCGGATCCCCTGTCATCAAGATTTAGGTCAACAATCGTTGAAGGTCTGTTGTATCTGTCGGAGATTGACTGTTTAATCCGTGACGGGGTACAAACCCTCAAAAATCTGAGTCCTAGGAGTCTTAATTAAGGCCAACTCTGATAGGAGCCACGAGCCAGAATGCCTCTGCAGGGTTGCCCGGTTACTTGCCATATTCCGTGACCCTCGCGGCACTCGCCCACGCTTTGCGGATGCTTGCGCACCAAACCGCTTTAATTGCTGTAGGTACGTCGGTGTAAGGTACTTGGACTTGCAGGCTGTTTCTGTCTGAATAATGTGGGACCAAGCGCGAACTCAGGTCTCTCTCTCTCTCTCTCTCTCTCTCTCTCTCTCGCTCTACACGAGGGGATCCTTCGTGAATTGGGTATTCAAGCGTTCTTATGGAGGCTGTTCCTCGCAGCATTGTGGACCATAGGCAAGTGTTCAAGTACCGCTTAAACCAGTTTAGAAGCAAGTAGACGGGCAACAAGTACCCTAATTTAGAGAACTACCCACATGTTTCCAGAAGCTCGTCACTCTTTCGATGTCCTACCTTTGCAGATCCGGCTTCTCTGAGCTGAGCAATCCGTGGGACGCGGTTTCGGTGTAAATGCCGTATGGCTTGGCCACGGTCAGACCTCCCCAGATCCTGATATCAGGAGAGTGGCTATGTGTTTCTGAGCCGGTCATGAACAGAAGTACTATCACCACCACGTGTAGCATCGCCCCAGGTGACAATGGCTCCATCTTCCAGAATGGCGGCAAAAGAAAAGCCAGAGGATTGAATCTGCTGCACATGTGTCAGCTGACCCTGCACAGAACTACTGTCACCACCTGTGCCAGCATCACCCCACGTCACCACGGATCCGTCATCAAGAGTGGCAGCAAAAGCAGAGGCAGAGGCTTGAATCTGCTGAACATTCTTCAGCTCATCCTGCACTGCACTACCATCGCCACCAGACTGAGCATCACCCCAACAGACGATGGATCCATCGTCCAGCACGGCAGCAAAAGCGGCGGCAGAGGCTTGAATCTGCTGCACAGCCTTCAGCTGTCCCTGCACAGCACCGCTGTCGCCACCGAACGAAGCATCACCCCATGTCACTACGGATCTGTCGTCAAGAATAGCAGCAAATGCACGCTCAGAGGCTTGTATTTGCTGCAAATTGTGCAGCCGATCCTGGACGGCACTACTGTCGCCGCCCGAGCTAGCACAACCCCAGGTGACAATGGCTCCATCGTCCAGCACAGCAGCAAAAGCAAAGCGTGACGCTTGGATCTGATGCACATGTTTAAGTTCACCCTGCACGGCACTGCTGTCGCCACCGTCGCAAAACAGACCCCAGGTGACCACGGATCCGTCGCTAAGAATGGCAGCAAAAGCTGTGCTAGTTGCCTGAATCTGCCGCACACCCTTGAGCTGATCCTGGACCACACTATACTGTCACCACCGCACACATCGTTGCCCCAGGTCACGGAACCATCACCAAAGATGGCAGCAAAACCGATGTCACTGGCTTGTATCTGCTGCACATTGCGTAGCTGATCCTGCACACCACTACTATCACCTCCACAGTTATAACCCCACGTCACAACAGATCCATCGTCCAGCACGGCAGCAAAAGCGGCGGCAGTGGCTTGTATCTGTTGCGCAGATTTCAGCTGGTGCTCAACTAACGGCACGGCTTTCACCGCCAAACGCAGCATCGCCCCATGCTACAACGGAACCATCGCCAAAAACTGCTGCAAAAGCACCATCGTAAGAGGCCTGAACTTGAACCCTGTCTGTGTTTTTATAACGTCAGTTTGTCACCAGTCTGCACCCTGGCCTTCTTGATGGCCGCACATCCATCCACGACGCATCCCGATGAGTCAAGCAGAAGCCCTATTCCGACTCCCAATGCAATCTGCGCCCGTCGTTTCAAAGTGCCCACCGTCTCATCCGCGGCTGCTTGCACAGTGGTTGTCCTCCCACTGATCAGTCCCGGCCGGGCTTTGTTCTGGCACAGGTGGCCAGGCCTGAGGAGGAAGAAGCTTGTGTCAAAGTGGCTTTCTGTTGGCTTCTCGCAGCCTTCCTAGGCCGGCGCAGGAGCATCGCTCCTTGGCAAAGCTTGCGACAGCCCGAGGTGTGCCTTCTGACACCTCTGAGCCCAGGATGTTTCACAGTGCTGCTGCCGCTGCCATCGCGGGCTTCTCTATCGTCTTGCTTGATCGGCAATATCCCGAGATATTGCCGATCAAGCAAGACGATAGAGAAGCCCGCGATGCCAGCAGGACAGATTTGGAGGGACTTGGAGGGTTTACTGTGCTTGAACTCGAGTAGATTTGCAGCAAGAGTTTGCGAACACCCGAAGGATCGTGAATGGCGTCGTGAGGCGCGTGACACACGAATCGACATGCTGTGCGCCGGCACTGTCCAATCCCTAGCCTGTTAGGTTCATGGCTCGGGCAGCGGACCTGCAATCCATTCCACGTTTTGGGTGTAGTGGTGATGGGGGTTAGGGCGTTGCCTCGGCACCAACTGCGTGTTAGGGCTCCGGGGCGTCAGTCTCATGCCTATATTCTCTCTCGCGGGCCTTTGCACACGCTTCGGCAGTAAGGCTTACAGTGTTGGCTCAGCGGAGGCATGTACGAACTCTTCAGTGGTTAAGAACTGCTAGTGGCTTTGCAAATCATAGAAATAACTTCCACATCACAAACCTACGTATATCCTGACTCGCCCTGTAGAAGCAAATCCGAACCCTACATCCTTCACCGATCAGCATTTAAAATCAAGCTCCGCCGCACACCTTTAAACGACAACACTTCTGCTGCAAACTAAGGAAAATGGACAGAGCGACCAATGAAGAGTCGTCCGGGGGGGGGGGGGATGTCAAAATAAGCTAGAAACCCTACATTGTACAAGGGCAGATAATTCAGACCCTTAGTACGTATAGGGGACCAACGAAGAGGAGCAACACAGCAGGCAAATCGCCTCGCGCCACTTGGCCGCCTTGATCAAAGGTCAGTCTTTGCAGTGGGACGGTCTGGAGACTCCTCAATACCCAAAGGGTCCTATGTACTGTTATGGAGGATACTTCCCTAAGTCCTACTAGTAACTCCTAGTATGGAAACCCTACATTCTACTATATCGGTACATAGGATCCTTTGGGAAACCCTAACCCTCTAAGCCCTAGAGCCCACAAACCCTAAGGCTCCTCAACGTCCTACACCCTATAGTTAAGTCCTAAACCACAAACCTGAAACCCTACCCTACTTGTCGGGTATCATGGGGAACTAAAGGTTATATAACCTGTTTGGTTATATGGGGATTATATAGGGACTATACTACCCCATAAAGGTTAAAAGTTACCTACTCGACTACTAGGCTAAACCCTAAACCCTAAACCACAACCCCCATCTCCTCAAAGCCTTGCCCTCACCCCCAAGAACCTGCCTGTTTTGACTTCCTCATTACGCCTCCATCATATAAGTCCTGAAAAGCGTAGGAGATTCAGGGCTTAAGGTTAATCGTTGAACCCTTGGAGACTCCAATATCCATTAAGAATACAATTGAGGAATATACCTTTAAATCATATTAGGGATCCTACTATTATATTATCTTTCCGTAATTAAGGGATATTGGAGTCTCCAAGAGCATACAAGACGACGGAGGTGAGTCTCTGAGGCTGAAGAGACATGGAACCCTTGAGCCTGCCCTTCATGGGGCTTGATAGGGTTTAGAATCCAGGGATTCCTGAAAAGGGTGAAGGGTATCTATACGCGCATTCGGGGATTGCAGCGGTTTGGGGAAGTAGTATCTGGGGTAGTTGTCAAAATTAGGGTCCCTTTCTGGATACCCTAAATATTCGGTGCCGTACTATATTAGGGACCCAAAAAGGGACCATAATTTTGACAACCACCCATATAGTCCTTTCGGAACCGCAAGTGGAAGCTACAAGGCCTAAATCCCTAAACTTACTCCAGGGGTCTGCGAATTATGTGGGCAGGCCTTGTGGTTATCTGCCATAACTGGCTGTAGTTGCTTATGTTTGGGGTTTAGGATTTAGGGTTTGGGTCTTCTTAGGGTGCAGGGTTAAGCCTTCTCCCTAAAACACTAAACCCTAAACCCCGGGGTTGGCATGTTGTGGCTTGGGCCGCAGGCTTGGCACTCGAAGCTCGATCCTGACCTCTGGTTTCACCGTGAGGGTTTCGGTTTTGGGGTTCCGGGGTCTGAGGAGTTCCCCTGACAACACGAGCCTGGGTACTTAAAGGGTCATGGGACTTAGTAACTAGGGTTATAAACAAGGTAACTATACTTATAATTACTTATAACCCCAATTAGGGGACTTATAGCCTTACTTACTAAGTCCCCTGATCCTCCAAGTAGCCTAAATCCCAACCTCAACCTCAAGTCTACACCCTGACCTTAGCCCGTCCGGCTCAGCATGCTGGACTTTCTTGGAGCTCTTTGACATAGGCTGGGACACCAGAATGATGCAGGGTTTAGGGCTTTGGAGTCGGTGGTAAAGCTTCAGGGCTGAGGGTTAGAATGGGGTTTTGGAGCCCAATATACTATAACAACAAAAAGGAACCCCCCAAAATAGCATAGGTAACTATTCAGGCCCCCTTTTTTAAGGCTTCAGGGTAGAAGAAGGGGTCAAGGGCGTGAGGCTCTCAAGGTTGACTTTTGACTTCTTAGGCAGTTTAGGCTTTAGCGGTTCGGGGGTCAGGGCTTAGGCTTTCAATTTAGGCTTGAGGAGATGAACCGGGTTTAGTATCCCTAAACCCTTACTTCAGGTTCATGGCTCTGGGTTTGGGGTTCAGCACCCCGCAGCCCCGGTTGCGGGGCCTTTTCACAAGCTCCGATGGCCGCACCGAAGGAGACGACGGTGGGCTCCAGAGCGGTCGAGCTGCAAAGGTGTTGTAGGACGTGCCTCAGTTCTCCAAGTTAGGGACCCTAAACCCTAAACTCTAAATCAGGGCTTAGGGATATCAGGCTGCAGATAATACGTTGAAAAATTTCGCGACAACTGCAACGACGACAATGGTGGGTTTAGCACCCAAGCTGGGCTCTCTGGCTCAGCTCGTCTTTACAGAGCTTCCTCAGACACCTGTTTAAGGGATCCAGCAATCAACAGCCTACCTACCAGTATATGAGTTAAGCTAGAGCAGTTTGGGCTCGTTTCAAGGAATCCAGGCTCTGGATTTTTCGACCAGTCAAGAAGCAGAGCCATCTGCCATTCCCCTGCGCATCTGCACGCGGTGATCAAAGCATTCAGGGTGATGGCATCCGGCGAGACGCGAATGACCTGGATGGTGCATGCAACCGTTCATGACATACCAAGCTAGTAAGCCGACCGCACTGATCTGTATAGTCGTCATTCCTGTAGGAGACGAAGATCCACAAGCGAGGTCAAACAAACAGCTGGTTCTAACGAGCCGAATGGCTCTGATCCCCAGGCTCAATGCACCTATCTCTTTTCTACTTCGGCCATGAGGCTATTATAATGTAAGAATCCGTTGAAGGCATAACTCTGTTACCTAGGCTCGGCTGGCCCTTCATGGCCTTTGAGCAATATTCGAAAATTAAGATCCACTTCGGCTCAATCAGGGAAAAACATGTCCCAAAGGCCGACCAAGTTCATATACGGGGACATGGAAACCCCCTGGCGTTGGTCCTTCTGCTTATATGCCGCCGGGATCCGAATAGAGCCAACAGTTCAAAGTAGTAACAGGTTTAAGGTTCAGGGTTTAAGGTCTAAGAGTCTAAGGTAAAAGCCAGAAAGTTGGAATATGGTTTCATGGTAGGATACCCTATAATTTACCATAGAAGGGTTAGGATAATGATATTCCAACTTTCTGGCTTCTACTGTAAGGTCTAAGAGTCTTAGGCTTTTTAAGGTTTAAGATTTCGGGTTTAGGAAGTGTAGAGCTTTAGGGCCTTGTCAAGGACGAGCCTAAACCCTACTCCCGAATCCCCTACCCCCAATTTCGAAACCCTCAGCCCTGAAGCCTAAACCCTAAACCCCTAGACCCTAAACCCTAAACCCCTAAACCCTAAACCCTTAAACCATATATACCCTACCTAGAGCCGGCCGGTCCCACCTTTTTAGGTCCCCTCGGGTTTCTTGTGCCGAATCCAGGTCATTTGTTCAAACAAGGGTCGAATGGAAAAACTAAGAGGGTTGTTCGTTCCATAAGCCGAAGTGAACTGCCTCGCTGAAACAAAACTTCTCACAGAATCTTCCCTTAACCCTAAAACCCTGAGAGCACAGTACTTCAGCATCGGGAAGCTGTCGTCTCATGGCATAGAGCCCAAGCCCTTTGCCAGTGGCCTCGTCGGAAATTTCAAAGCTAGGGGCAGTTTCTTGTTGAGGGTTGAGTTTCGGGCACAAGATTTCGAAGACTAGGTGAAACAGTGCCTCTTTGCTTCTAGATGGTTTCCTTTAGCCCAAAAATGTCCCTCCTGTGCCGGAGACTGCATGGGTACGCTATCAAGACAGAAGACATCTCTTGGTACTGCGGGATACTTGAAGTTCTTGCTGGAAGGAAGGCATGTCACAGAAAAGCCGGGAGGTTTTAGCCGCTGTGCCAAACGCGGCTTTGGCAGCATGGGGTTTAGGGCTTCGAGTTTAGGAGTTTCTGGCTTCGGGGTTTAGGGTTTAGGGGAGCACCAGAAAGAAGAGCCATCATTGGGTCCTATGTTAGTACCCTTATAGATCCCTTACAGTAGAAGATCTTATCGTAACCCCTTTAAAGTAAATTATAGGGGATCCTACCATTCATCCATATTCCAACTTTCTGGAGTTCCCTTTAAGCCGAAGTAGACCCTAAACCCTAAACCCTATAGATCCCTTTAAGGAACCCCTTATAGATCCCTCTATACCCTAAACCCTAAACCCTATAGATCCCTTTATAGTAGCCCTTAAAGGCCCCTTTAAAGCCCTGGAGCCCTCCAGGGGTTGGTCTTGGGCCTAGTTGCGCGGGAAAGTGGGGGCTAGGAGTCTCCTGGTTTGCACCGTAAATCAAAGGGGAAAAGGAGGGACCCTTAATGAGGACCCTTAAGGGTTCCTATAAGGGATCTTTAGGGTTCCTTTAAGGGGTCCTTAGGGGTTTAGGGTTTAGGGTTCCTTTAATCAAAGGGGAAAAGGAGGGACCCTTAATGGGGACCCCTACCCAAAAATGGGCTATAGAATGGGTATACAATGGCTGTATTAAGGGTATATACCTAAGGGGTCCTTATTCAGGGTCCCTCCTTTTACCCTTGGAGTAAAGTCTTGAGATTCCGGGTCCTGGAGGAAGCTTAGACGTGACGTCAAGATTCCGAAAAGCCAGCTCTTAACAGACTATGGAAGCCGAAGCTTATTGACCCTAAACCCTATAGACCCTGAGCCTCTAAAACCCCAAACCTATAGACCCTATAAGCCCTAGACCCTCTAAACCTTGCATAGACCAACCGCAAATAGCCTTTAAGTGCTTCTCTTTTGTTGCTAGAAGCATTCGGCGCCCCCCCCCCCCGACTGACTGCTTCATGTGTATCAGCACCCTCCGAAGAAGCTCTATCGGCCAAACCTAACCGTCGCCCTAAGCCCGAAACCCTAAACCCCAAGCCGTAAGCCCAAACCCGAAAACCCATACCCTAAGGGACCTTAACAATTAGAATAGGGTTTTGGGGTAAGTTCTGAAGCCCCTATAGTAAATCCTGCACCTCTTATAGCCTTGATCTCCTTCAAGTGCTAGAAAGGAATGGGCCATGAAAATTCGAACAGGGTTTCGGTGTACAGTACACTATGGCCAGGGTGTATCGTACTATAGTCCGTGTAGTATGTCATACCAAAATCGGCGAATACTATACGATATTGAAATAAGGAACTATAAGGAGATACTAATTATTCTTTGTGTTCCGACCCCGATATTCAGCTAAACCCCAAACCCTGAAACCGAAACCGTAAAGACCCTTTATTCCGAACTTCGCCGGCCTTCCACCGCAGTGATGGCGGTGTTGTAGCTCCGCAGATTCGGTTCTAAGCCGGCTGCCCGGGAATCATCCAACAGGAGCCTGATCTGTGAGTTTAGGGCTTGGGGTTTCAAGTTTAGGGTCTGCGGGGGTTCATGGCAGTTTATAATTTCGGCCGTATATTTAGGGTCTAGTGGTGAAGGGGTTCTCTGCGTCTCTTAGCACCTAAACCCTAAACCCTCAGCCCGAAACCCTAAAGCCTACCGCTAAACCCTAAACCCTCTAAACCCTGGGGTGGCTCAGAAACTTCGGGCTACAGGGTTGAGCTTCACTTCTACGCCTAGAGACTCCATATCCCCTTGGGCTTAATATAGGGCTTAGAGTTTTAGAGTATTAGACCTCTGGGGTTTTAGGGTTTTAGGAATCTTACCGAATATGTACAGGACCTCATAGAACGAGTTTGAAGTGCTTGATTGAAGTATCTGTGGAGATTCAGCCACTGGACCTTCATGATTTGAACCAAGGCTTTGGGTAAATGTAGCATAGGGACCCTTAATCATATTTAAGGAAGTATATTCCCCTAACCCCCCTCCATCCCCCTCCCCCTACCCCCTAAGGGTCCCTATATGGGTATTTGTAGCATCATGAAAGTAAGAGAACCCACCGAGTAGTCTTGGTAACTACTTAAGCTTCTACCTTTAAACCCTGAACTCCATAATGCTACCCGAAAACTCGTATTCAATAAATGAACCTCATATCCTGAACGTTCTTTTGGCTTTCGGGCTTAGGGCTTGGGGCTATGTGGTGTTGTTTTGCAGCCCCCGCCCGACAAGAGCAAAAAAAAATTGGCTTCCAAGCCGTAGAAACAGTGCTCGCTGCCATTCCTCTACTCGGCCGCAGGCGTCGATGGCCGAATTGTACGACACGATGTCCGGGATAAGATGTCGTGATGCGATGTGCTGGAACCTCGGTTTCAGGCAATTCTCCGAAAATTTAGGATAGTATCCTTTGTGAGGTCGATCCTACTTCGCAGTCTACAATAGGTGGCTTTTGTCCTTGCAGAGGAATCATTGCATACTGAGTCCCCTTGGAGCCTTGGCGAACCTACAGCACAACTTATAGTTGCCTGGGTCCTAGATTACCCTAGATTACAGCTGGCCTACAGGCACAGCTATGCTTCGGTTGTAACTACCCCGAATTCCAAACAGTCTGCGGCATGTGCTCGTATTAGGCACACATAGGACAATACTATAAGCATCATCAAAAGACATAAGTGCATACTGCATACATAGCTGCAGCTTGAGTTTACCCCTGGTTCTACAATAGACTTATAGAAATTTAGAGGGACGCCCAAACAAAAAGTCCTAAACAATCAAGGAAACCCTGAGGTTTTGGCGAAGGGTATGCAGAGGGCCACCTCCTGGCTCTCTAACAAAAAGCCCTTAAACGCCTAAGTCCTGAATCCTGCACCCTAAACCCTCAAATCCAAACCTAAAAACCCTAAACCTGCACCGAAAAACATAAACCCCCAAACCACGAACCCCCTAAGCCCTAGAGCCCAAAAGGAGCCCGGGAGCAGGTCGAGGGCCACCTCCCAGAGAAGTCGCTTCCCTGCGGCGCTGATGAGGGCGTTGTGCGCAAGGCAGGAGCTGCAAGCCGCCTCACGTGGCAATTTTTTGAGGGTTTTGTTGAAGGTTTAGGATTTAGGGTTTAAGGTTGCGGTATAAGTTAATAGAGTTTATACCACTTGTTTAGGGTTCAGGTCCGAAGTTTTGACCGGGTTTTGTGTTTTGCTTTGGGGTTTAGGGTTTAGGGCTTCGGGTTTCGGGTTTAGGGCTTAGGGCTTAGGGTTAAGGGGGTACCAGGGCTCCTGTTGGTATAGGGGGGTTAAGAATTAGAATAGGGCTTTGAGGTATGTTACGGTATACTTACAATACGGAACCCCAAAATCGTAGGGTTATGTGTTTAAGCCCATATATCAACCGGTTCCTTGTTGACAGTTCCCTTGTGCAGCTCCGCTGTAAGGATTTTCTTTTCAGAGTTACTCATGACGGCTCCGCTTAAGAGTTCCACCGGCTCCCGGAACAGGACCGGAGGGGCGTAAGGGTTGAGCGTTAATGATGTAGGCTTAGGGGGGAACTTTGGCGGTCTAGGGCAGCAGCACCAATTACAAGCAAAATGCGCGAGCCCTAACCCTGCAAACGTCTGCAAAACAAGATCTTGTACTGCTAATGTCCTAAACCAGCCAGACCTAAATCTCGCAAGCCCTTAACCCCCAAGCCCTAAGCCCATAATGTAAACCCCGAAGGCCTTATAAACTCAAGCCGTAATTACACTTGAAACCCAATCTGCACCTCCTCCGTCTGCAGAAGGCCCAGCGCCTCTTGCCACTCCAGTGCCTGCTGCAGAGACGCCCGAATTCGTGACTGAAGAAAATGTCCGCACATCAGAAAAAGAACCCCAACCCTGTTCCCAACACCCCAGGAGCTCTCCCTAGTTTCGTCAAACATCCAATACAGATTCGAGTGTTTGCCGGGCATACAAGCTTTACGCAGACCGCATACTACTGACTACTGTGTGTAGAAAGATGTTCGATCCAGACTGGTGCCGTAGGCCAAAAGATTAGCAAAGCAGGGCACTTCAGAGTTCAGTGATTCAAGTTTAGGAGGTTTCCAAATACCTCCTTCGTGCTATGGGCGCCGTTTTCGCCATGACTCAGGCTGAACAAGGAAACCACCAGAAGAAGGTCCGGGAAATAAGTCAAGTAGTCACCACAAACCCCAAACCCGAAATCAACCCTGGCTCCGAACTCAACCGTGGCTCAGCTAAAAAAACATCGTGCAAGAAAGGCGAAGGCAACAAACGCAGCCGTTGATTGCCCGATTCCAGACACTGAACTTAAAGACATCTACTGGAAGTGCAATTTCCTGCTCTTCGAAAACCGTATCCGCACTTTCTAGGGCGTAGGGTTCAGGGCTATCGCTGTTGTCTACTGAAACCACAGACCGCAGAACCATACTGCACAGATTCTTGGATAAGCTCGATCCTGAAAGGGGGCCTCCCTAAACCTCAAACTCTACTATGCTCACCTTTGGTTAGTAGGGAATGGAAGAATGGTAGTAATAGTAGTTATCATTGTACCCCATTCCCAAAGGTAAGCATGAACCCCCTGCGCAACCTTAACCCTCGGTTTGCGTCTTCAAGCTCTCCGGCACATCGCACTGCCCAGACTTGCTCTCACCAAAACATACGAGTCGGCCATCCGCAGTCACAGCACAGGTGTGGTCGTAGCCAGCCGAGACGCTCAAGACAGGTCCCAAATCCTGGGTCAACGTTCGGGAGGGAAGAAACATGAGAGTGTTATGGGCTTGCTTTTGAAAAACCTTAGGCGACTCACACCACAAATAGAAAACAATCGTGAAGCTGGACCAAGCGTCTGCTGGTACCTTACACTCCCCGCGCCTGTTCTGTCCGAAACAGACGAGCTGACCATCTGCAAGCACGACACAGGTATGGCGTGCGCCAGTTGAGACTGCCACAGCGGGTCCCAAAGCTGCTGGCACATCGCGCTGACGACGTGATCTGTCTCCAAAGCAAACGAGCTGACCATCACTCCTGACAGCATGGGTATCTCTATACGCCGCTGATACTGCCAGAACTGGACCCAACTTTGCTGGCACACTGCACTGCTTAAGCCAATTGCTGCCGAAGCAGACCAGCTGACCATCTGCCTGCACAGCACAGGCATGGTTAAAGCCTGTTGACACTGCCAAAACAGGACCCAAATCTGCTGGCACATCGCACTGTTTATTCGGGTTGTGCCCAAAGCATACAAGCTGACCGTCTGCTTGTACTGCGCAGGTGTGTCCGTAGCTCGCCGAGACCGCTACGACTCGTCCTAAGTCACCTGGCACAGCACACTGGCTGAGAAAGTTGCCCCCAAAGCAAACGAGTTGACCATCTGCTCGCACCTCGGATGTTCATAGACACCAAATTAAAATGTAATTCTTATTCCTTCTTACTTAGGGTTTAAGTTTAGGGTTTAGGGCAATTGTGTTTAAAGTTTATTAAGAATATACGACAACACAAAGTCAGTGCAGCTGTCCAGATTGAGCTAGGTGCTGCACAGGTGTGCTTATAGCCTGCAGAGGCTGTCAACACTGGTCCCAAGTCCGCTGGCACGTCGCACTGCCAAAGTAGCTGTCTCCGAAGCAGACGAGCTGGCCATCTGCGTGTACTGCACAGGTATGCGCCTGGCCCGCCGTGACTGACAGAACACCTCCAAAATCGGTTGGCTCGGTAGCACAATTGCGACAAAGGCTGTTTGAAGATGGCAACTTCCCCGAGCTTAGGGAGAACCTGAAAGAATGACTCCTTCCATCCCTGCTGCCGGACAGGCACCCCATGCACTGACGCCTGGGCAGTACAACATGTGCTTGCCCAAAGATCGGAACACGCTGACAAACAGGTCGGAGTGGATGAACCGACTGCGATGCTGCTTTCGATGCCCAGGAAAGCATTTCAAGCTTGTTGGCCCTTTGAGCCGTGGCTGATATGAAACGCAACTTGGTCTCATGAGGGGAAGTTGGAACCGAATGACGAACGTCTAGCGCTAGTGGCCCAGTTCTGGGGCTATTTGCCAATATTTGGTCCTTTGCCAGCCTTTGCAACGAGAGTGTGGCAGCACACCATGCCATATACTTACTAGACCCCCAACTACCCTCAAAAAAACTTAAATACACACTATTAAGAACCATAAGTGCTCTATTGAACGGTACCTGCGGGGTTTCGGGTAGGTGGTTGATCTTCTTAAGCTAGGCGGGCCCCACCTTCTCACCCCATTTCCGGAGCCCCGAAGTCTTAAAACCTAAGTCCTAAGCTCGAATCCTATCTCAACCCTGAACCCTTTAGCGGAAGCCCTTTGCCTTGAACCCGAAACCCTCAACCGAAACCCGAAATCAAAGGGGACAAGGAGGGCCCCTTAATGGGGACCCTTAAGGGTTCCTATAAGGGGTCTTTAGGGTTCCTTTAAGGGGTCCTTAGGGGTTTAGGGTTCCTTTAATCAAAGGGAAAAAGGAGGGACACCTAATGGGGACCCCTACCCTATAATGGGCCATATAATGGGTATATATAATAGCTATATTAAGGGTATATACCTAGGAGTCCTTATTAAGGGTCCCTCCTTTTACCCTTGGACGAAACCCAAGCCCCTAAACCGAAACCCTAAACCCCTAAACCCAAAACCCGAGAGGCCTTGCATAAAGCGAGGATGGACCGCACGCCCGCCGCAGCTGATGGAGCGACCGTTGCCTCGCGCATCCGCCGACGACAGAACGAAGCTTCCTGGGATGAGGGCATCGGGGGTTTAAGGTTTAGGGTTTGAGGGGTTTAGGGGGTTTAAGGGTTTCAGGTGGTTTAGGGGTTTAAGGGTATTGAGGGTTTAGGGGTTTAAGGTCTAGGGGTTCAAAGGGCTTTATAAGGGTTCCTTTAGGAGTTTAGGGTTTAGGGTTCCGTTAAAGGGATCCGTAAGGGCTCTTCGGGTTTACCCATAGGCTCCAGAGTAGATTCTTGTTGGGCATTACCGTATAGGATCCTACAAATATGAACCACCAGAAGGAACTACAATGGAGCCCATGGGTTAAGGTCTGGGGGTGGATGTGCATCTTTCGCAGGGCTCTGGGAGCCTTTGTGTTGAAAGGCTTCGAGGGTTTTTTACCTCGTTAGGGTTCAGGGTTTAGGTTGAGCCAACGTCCGGAATTATTGGGCTCCCTTGGACCCTTTGGGTGAAGCCCCTGAATTCTGAATGCTTATGCCACCTCCCGGTCAGAATCAACTCCAACTCTTGCGTTCCAAACACTGGCACTGTGCATCCTGCATTGCCAGCCCTGCAAGGAAGAGGGGAGATAGCTGGGTTTAGGGTTTAGGGTTTACGGTTTAAGAGACTTTACACTTCAGAATTGTTTTTTGGGGGTTGGGGATGAGGTAGGATTCCACATGTCGCGTTTGAGGGCTTATGGGCGGGCTCCTTAAGTTGCTTGTTTGTCTGTGTGCGCGTTGTCTGTCTGTGCGTGTGCTTGTGTGGGTGGGAGTCTTTCGCTGCGTTCTTAAAATGGTGGTTTACAAGTGGTTTCCGAAAGCCAGTTAAGCCTGCTAAGGTCTGTGCCCAGGCACGCGCATGACTTCGCAAACGCACAATCCGAGAAAACACTATAATACAAGATGATTATGATTATGACTGGTGTAACTTTCCTGCTAGTAGTAGCCCCTGGGATTTGCGATTCGAATCGAACACAACTTACCTCCCTAAGTCGGTTTCCTTGCCTGGCAATCGAGGCCGTCCAGCCCGCAGCGCACCGTCATGGCCAAGGCTTACGATGACAAGAACCTCCTACCAGGAGAAAACCCTAAACCCTGGACTACTAGACCATCCTAAACGCAAACCCTTAACAACCCTAAATCATTTGGCTACGGATGCCTGTGGGGTGGGTGTTGCCAGGCGCGGACTCTAAACCCTAAACTCAAGACTGCGCAGTAGCTGCCAGAAGCTTTGAGCACTAGCACCCTCCAAGTGCTCGAAGCTCAACTTGTACTGGGCTTTTAAGTAACCAAGGAGAAAAAAAGTCGAAACTTTTATTTCATAATGGTTCCTTTAAGGAAAAATGTATTAAAGTATAGTACTCCAAAGCCCAGTGTAGGGCTTAGCGAGTTTAGGGTTCCCTGACCCTACACCCTAAACCTTGGGTTGTAGGATGATGGAGTCTCTAATCCACATAAAAATCCCCAAAGACCGGGACCCTTAGTTTCAAAAACTTAGCAGATTTGAAACCCAGATCTCCCCAGTCAAGACTCGGAAACCTATTCAAACGACGAAAACAGACAGGAATATGATAACTCTGATCAAGCACGCTTGCAAATATGCTTGCCAGACCACCTCAACAAAGCCTTTAAATTGCAACCAGTACCTTACACCCCGAATTCTAAGCCCACTACGCATCCAAAACCCGACCACTTGCAGGGTACAAGGTTGTTAGGGTTCATGGTTTGGGGTTGAGGTACCATCGGGAGTTTAACGGGGTTCTAGGATGCGATAAGGGTTCGAAAGCCTGTTGTAGGGCTTTGCCGGGCTTGTATAATGTGAGGGTCGGGCCTCAGTGTGACGATCCAGGCCGGATGAACCTCAAACCTCATGCCTCAAATGCCCCTGAACCTTAAATCCTAAGCCCCTTAAACCCCTAAATCCCTAAACCCCCAAACCCTAAATCCTAAACCACAAAACCCTAAACTCTGCACCCAGGAGTTTCTCTTTGAGCTCGCCGACTTCCTATCTCATACCTTCTGGGCCCAAGTGAGTTTAGGGCTCAAGCGTTTGGGGTTAAGGGTTCAGGGTTTAGGGTTTAGGGGTTTAGGATGTAGGGTTTAGGCCTATGTGAATACTTCGGTGGGGTCTACATGGCATTCCTCAAGCTTCTGAACCTTATAAACCTTAAGTCCCACTAGCGCAGCCAGTTCTTGGTTCAGGGCTTGCGGCGAAGTTTTCTTGTTTACTTGGGCTTCCGCCCTTAACGAAGGTTGAAGGCTGAGGGCACATCAGCTGGGACCGCTGCCCACGCGGATTCATGCCAACCACCGTCTGCGGGATGTTGGGTTGGGGTTTGGGTTTAAAGCAAAAGCCAGAAAGTTGGAATATGATTATCCTAAACCCTTTGGGGTAAATTATGAGGTATCCTACCCTGAAACCATATTCCAACTTTCGGCAGTTCCCTTTAAGGTTTGCTGCTGTTCGATTGCTTGAACTTGAGCTGCAAGGAACAGAAGTCATACAGCAGAAGCCGACAAGTTGGAAACTCGATAGCCGCAATCCTTAAGAGCAAAGTATAGGGAATCCCAGCACGATTTGTCCTTAATTCAGTCTCCAACTTTTTGGAGTTTACAATATAGAGCCGGGACATGTGCGGAAGGAATTGTGCTGGGTCGAGGGATCGCGTTCCAGCTTCCCTGCTTATACCAGACAGTGCAGGAGTGAGGATGTTGAGGAGTTTAGGATTCCATAAAGTGGACAGTTCCCAGAGACTCCAATATCCCTTAATTAAGGAATATTCCTTAAATCATACTAGGGATCCTACTATAATTTAAGGAATATTCCTTAATTAAGGGATATTGGAGTCTCTGGGTTGGGGTGCTGTAGAGGAGAGCAAATGGCTCGACGAGGAGATTTTGAGCTCCCGGAATCTCAAACCCGAAAACCTAAACCTTGGCTGGTGTAGACAACGCATTATCCTGAAAGCCAACCATCACCCCAAGAGTCCGAGTGGTCCTTCTACATGTTAAAAATTTGGGCACGACCCAAACTATTACAAATTATCCTCAGTAGAGATCTGTGGGACGAAAACACAAGGCTGCACGAGCTTCCCGAACTCACCTTTGGTTAGTAGGGAATGGAAGAATGGTAGTAATAGTTGCTATAATTGTACCCCATTCCTCCATTCCCTACTAACCAAAGGTAAGTTATAGGATTATTAAGGCCCCTAATATTATAGTACCCTTGTAGATCCCTTATAGACCCCTTATAGCTCGCAATGAGACCAACCTCGGGGCGAATGGCAGATGCCTGCGCTGGGGCTTCGGGAGTGGGGGGACTCAGGCTTCCCAGGGCCGGGTTAATGTAGGGGCCCTAATAATTAGAGTAGGGTCTTGGGGCCCATTATACTATAATTATCATAAGAACACCGCCCCCCTCAAAAAAAAAAAACATAATAATAATAACAATAATAGTTTATAGGTATAACTATCTGTATATATATATATATATATATAGAACTCGATCTACCGGTTTTGCATAAGGGGGAACGAGCTACTCTTACTCAAGGGCTGATAGGTCCGGGATGAACGACTTCGGGCCAATCACTGTGATGGTGTTCCGGATGGGATCAACCAATCCCTGCAATGTAGGATTTAGGACCCGAGGTTCCAAGATGCACCCATTTGGGCGTTTGCGCAAATTAGGCGTACCTTACTTTTGGGGTCCTCATATTGCATGAGGATCATACTAATTTAGGGTAAGTATTTTGGGGTCCCCTATTTCGGACACCCCCATTTTGCAGCTCTTTTCCTGTGCCGCATCTTTGGACAGCAGACAGGCCTCTGGCCTCTGGAACGCAGCGGTGCCTGCAACTTTCGAAGCCTGTCATATGATGCCCTTGGGTTCTGCAGGATATTGTATTAGTATGCAGAGATCTGGGCGCTTCATGTCTCGAGCTCTCTGCGGCTACTACACTATCACTCGTCGCCCGAAGGCCAAACCCTAACCCAACACCCTAAGCCCAGCAACCCATGCCCTCAACTCTCATGTAGGAACCTGAATATGAAACCTTGGGCCTTTATAGGGTTCCTTCTATGAATCCTACTATCTTGGGGTTAGAGGGCGAGGGTTTCTTAATCAGCTTCCTATATTTCCTATGATAGCCTTTACTTTGGGGCCTAAATTCTCAACCATCCCAACTTCCCAGGCACATGCACTCACCATGCCCCGGCAAACTGCCTGGGTGTGTCGACCATCTTCCGCGCAAGCTCCAGCGTCAGCAACAGGATCTCTAACACAATCCTGTGCTTAGAGAGCCCATCTACCTAGTACATACACATCGCCCCTAAAGCACACATGTAAGGAACCCGGTCAAGGTCTGAGTATATACGATCGCGCTATGTGTTACGACCGAAATTTCTAGGTCTTGAAGGCAAAAGACATGGCGCATCGCATCTGAAGTACAGTTAGTAGGGACATTCCAGCCCAACATATGATACAAGGAACTGTTGGACACGTGGCCACAAGTTCCGGCCGACTCTGGGTAGCATGAGGGGATAACCTGTGTTTGTTTACGGTTTAAGGTTCAAGGCTTTAAGGTTTTGGGGTTCCAGGGTTCAAGGCTCCATCTTCATGTCAACGTGAAGATCCGGTCCAACCTCGCCTGAAATCCACAGCATCCCGAAAACAGTAGTGGATTTGAGTTAGGTACAGAAACCAGGTCCATAATCCGTCGGTGAAGCCGGAGCAAAAACCATCGCAAGCCCCCTTTGGGGAACTGCGCGGCGCAAAGTAGCTTGAACGCTCGGCTGCCGTGACAGCGAAGGAGTATCGTGGCATGAGACTATACTGTGACTCCAATCCTATGTTGTTCTCTGCGAAACCCTAAACTCTAAACCCTAAACCCGTGTACGGGATACTGGCACTTGAATGTCCAAAGCCGCGGGGTCTGGAGGTTCAAAGTCGCTGACTCTAACCTAAGAGTGATTTTGGCTGGGGCATCGGTTGTAGAAATCTCGAA